GGTGGATACACCACTATCTCAATGTCCATACACACATTCACAATCAAACATAATTCATTTCCAATTCTCACACACAACACATTATACACTGAAATACTCAATTCACATAAACGACAGTTCGTGCAATTAGAATGAATTATAATTGGTTTGTAACAGTTTATAATTTGTCGTTGTTGATATCAAGAAATCTTTATGTTACGAGAGTCTCAATCACAAAATATTAATGAATTGTAAATAGGATGGAACGTACGATCTAGATTCCAATGTTAACTACTATCCATCTTTACTTGCACACTTGTGGATATCTGACAATATTGAGATAATCCAGTCAGTATGTATATAGTTCGAAATTGACTGATCAATCACTATCCTTAATATTACTGAGGATATATAAATACTGAAAATTCATGCTGTTTAGTTCTTATGAATGGTAAAACTTCGTTAGACAATTTGGTTTTAAGATTCATATTAATAGAATAATAAAAAATCATCAGATAGAATTCGGTTCACCAAATCAAATGGCTGCATTACAGATATGACTAAATGAATTCCGTCAGGATCATGAAATGAACAGCAGGAACTGTCTTACCTATCAAACTTAGTTCAATGTGACTAATTAAATCTCATACGGTGTTGACCATTTCAATATTTTATTCATCCAAAGTTGTAAGGATTAGTAGGTGTTAAGCCTAATAATCAGGTTTCAGCGTCATAGACTCTGGGTGACCAAAAACGTTCATATCCAGTAACTAATTGTCTTATGATATTTAATCATGTTTAAACGTTAGTCCGTGTAATTACAATCAAATATGATTGATTTGTAACATTTTATAATTCGTCGTTGTTAATATTAAAAACTCCATATGTTACATGGGTCTCAATCACAAAAGAAGCTGATGGCTGTTATCTAAATGTATTAAATAAACATTTTGAAAATTCTGCAATATAAGTAATCATAGAAGGGGTTTTGTGGAGATTTAGTATTTATTATAGTTGAAAGAGTGAGTCAATTGAAGCTAGACCACCATGGAAAACCTGGAAAACACACCGTTGGATGCCAGCTCAGTGGACTGTCGGTTAAGGGCTTCAGCTCGAGACTGGTAGGTCCTGGGTTCGAATCTCGTGATTGCGGGTTCGTGCATGCGCACTGCTAAGGAGTCCCATAATAGAACGAAACGGCCGCCCAGTGTTTCCAGGTTTTCGATGCTGGTCTAGCTTCAATTGACTCACTCTTTCAACTATAATATAAGTAATCAAATGTTGAGATTTCAATAATGTAACATTTTATGTATATATTACATATAATATTAAAAACGGAAATATCAGACGTTTCTACTAAGAACTTAACTTTTGAATAAGAACTATATTTTAACTAACATTGAAATCTACAAATTCCATTTATATTTTATTAAAGACTTATCAACTGAATCCCAGTGTTGATATTCATATTTTAACTTCAACTTATTACATTCTACTCTAAATACCAACACACAATCTACTGTATTAATAAAATAGTTCAATTATATAAAGTTTACAATTAGAATTTTATTAAATATTCAAATTAATTATTAAATGTAGATCAGGCAAAATTGTAGAAACTGAGAATTCAAACATAAAAATTATAAAACTCTCCCTCCCTCCCCCCCTCTCTCTCTATACATATATATATATATATTTGTCGTGCAGATTAGACTTTTTTCTCTTTTTTTTCTTTCTTTTTTTCAAAAAATAAACGTTCAAGTAGCATTTAAATGTAAACTATTGCCTTCCGGGTAAAAGGAAACACTTATCATACGGTATATTTTAATTATAAAAAAAACTTTTCATATGAGAATGATAGATATACACCATAATTATTAGTTTCTCATAGTGAAATTTTTATTTTTTTTTAATTTTTTAAAATATTTTTTCATTAACAACACTGAACAGATTATAATTTTATCTTAACTTGGGAATTATTATTGAAATAATTATTGATATGGGTAACCAATGAAACATTTAGATTTTTTTGGTGTATACATAATGATCAATAAAATCTGTTATTTAATATTATGATCTTTGATATTTTGATTGTTGTTGTAACTGAATGAATAAGAGAACTTGATAAACACAATATAGGTCACTACTCAATGATCAATCAATTGTATGTATATCTCAGTTCAATAGGAGGTAATTTGCACTTCGTATAGTTCAATGGTTAAGTCTCTGATTGTGAATCTGGGTGATATGGGATTAAATCCGCCAGTTAGTATCAGTCAACTTAAGATAAATTTTGTTGACTAGTGCCAAAATGAGCAAAAACCAGAATGAGTATTGTTTTTTGTTGACTACCTACAACCATCACCTCACATCTAAACATACTATAGAAGATACTGAGTCACCTAGACAAGTGGCTACATTGCAACTTCATCGACAGAATTCGTGCAGTACTAAAAAAGAACCTAACATACATGACATCGATTACCACTCAGGAATCAAGCAATTGTAAAATATAAAGATTCTATGAGCGTATAAATTTGGATGTGGTATCAATCGCTTAGAATTAATGCATAAAATTTGATAACTGAATGACACTTACTCATGAAAACGTCTAGTCCTTGATGGACTGAATTTTGAAAAAAACGACAGAACAATCGGTCAACAAAGAAAATTGGTTTGCGGTTCATCAAAACAGTCTACAAAATATTTCTCAGAAAAATAAACATAATTAAATATCATAAGAAAATTAGTTACTGGATATGAACGTTTTTGGTCACCCAGAGTCTATGACGCTGAAACCTGATTATTAGGCTTAACACCTACTAATCCTTACAACTTTGGATGAATAAAATATTGAAATGGTCAACACCGTATGAGATTTAATTAGTCACATTGAACTAAGTTTGATAGGTAAGACAGTTCCTGCTGTTCATTTCATGATCCTGACGGAATTCATTTAGTCATATCTGTAATGCAGCCATTTGATTTGGTGAACCGAATTCTATCTGATGATTTTTTATTATTCTATTAATATGAATCTTAAAACCAAATTGTCTAACGAAGTTTTACCATTCATAAGAACTAAACAGCATGAATTTTCAGTATTTATATATCCTCAGTAATATTAAGGATAGTGATTGATCAGTCAATTTCGAACTATATACATACTGACTGGATTATCTCAATATTGTCAGATATCCACAAGTGTGCAAGTAAAGATGGATAGTAGTTAACATTGGAATCTAGATCGTACGTTCCATCCTATTTACAATTCATTAATATTTTGTGATTGAGACTCTCGTAACATAAAGATTTCTTGATATCAACAACGACAAATTATAAACTGTTACAAACCAATTATAATTCATTCTAATTGCACGAACTGTCGTTTATGTGAATTGAGTATTTCAGTGTATAATGTGTTGTGTGTGAGAATTGGAAATGAATTATGTTTGATTGTGAATGTGTGTATGGACATTGAGATAGTGGTGTATCCACCTGATAATTTTTAAACATGGTGGAGGTCTCATTTTAGATCCCACTTCTAAACATTATCAAAATTTTCCAAATAACGTTAATAATGGTGAATGATTTGATGAATGGTTTTATGCATAAATTAAAATCAATTTTCAATCTTGTCGATTATAGTGATATTTGGAATTCGCTATTTTTCATCGTCAGTTAACTATGGTTAGTCTGGTATATAAAACCAGAAAGTACTGGATAGCTGTTTCAACTCCATATGTCCATCTTGTTATGCAGTGAATATCTACAATCAGCAAAGTCTAATTGCTCGTGTTTACTCTTTAAACGTATTAACAATTTTTGAGTTTATTGTATGATGTCTATAAAATATTATTTGATGTTTGTTACTCCCAACTATAATTATTTTGGTGACGAAAGAGATATTAGATCACGTTCAATGAATGATATATTGTACAATTCGCTAATCTTTCAGTTGTTTATAATGAAATATGATAAACAATTTAGTTTGCCAAATAAAGGATAACTGGAAAAATAAATTAATTTATAAATTCACACAGTATTGTTTGTTTGAATCTTCCCATTGATGCTTAGGACTGTAAATGGTCAGTCTCTTATTGGCATATGTGCATACTATGAGTATAATGCTTGTGAATTAAGGCTATATCGAGGCAATACGCACAGGATGCACATATGCCACTGATCAATTGCAGTCCTAAAATTCAATGGGATGATTCAAGCAAACAATACCAAGTGAATTTAAACTTATGATTGTTGAAATAGAATCATTTCATAGAAGTAAAGCAGTTACCTAACGATGACAGTAAATCACTAATATGGAGGCTGAACGAAAGTTTGGAATTGTTGGTTGTTGGATTCTGACTTAGTGTCTGCACTGAATATTTCTATCCACCAAATCAAAAGATTAAACGTGAGCTTGCTCAGATACTGATTAAATGTTGGCTTACAGTTGTTTTCTTGCTGATTACATAATCATTAGATGGTGGTATATTTTCTAACATGAGTGATTCACTTATGAACTGTAATTTGTTGTTTTGAATAACATCATTATTATAATTTAGTTCAAAAAAGAAACTCCTAATAAAATTCACGGCAACGTTATTCAACAGATCGACCATAAAATGCGTCGTCAATAAACCATTCGGAACACAAAAATCAACATTATCAAATGTCTACGATAATTAATTGTTTAGGATTTCAGTGAATTAAATTAAAACTAAATCAAATTCCCAATGTTTGGGTTTTTAGATATAAACAAGTTTGCGAATGCTGAAATTCGTTCAGACTTTAATTAACTTATTTGGTATACTGTGAGTATCTAATACGGTCCGAGAATTATCAATAATAACAATCCTTCTATTGGAAAGTATACTAAGCTATGAATAAGTACATAAACTTTCTGCAACAATATCCATACTGATCAGTTTAATTTTCTCCTTTTAGAAAACTGAAAATTCAGTAATCACTTTGCAATCTGTCATATGAACATAGTTTTATTATGTTATTTATTCTTCCAGGATTACCGTTGAAAATTGCTGCTTTCTCTGGTAATGGTTTCATTTTAAATAAATTAAAAAATCGACCAATTACAAGTACTGAAGAGAGAATTGAAATTGAGTTTCAAACAAAAGAATCAAATTCAAGTTTGTTTTGTTCAGGTAAGTATTCTGTTAGAATCACTTTCGAGTATTGAACATGATTGTAGATGAATAAAATGTGTATTTTGAGTATTTACGTCATGTAATACTTTAAAGCATAAACTACTTGGAAAATTCTGGTTGATTGATAAAAGACGTTCGGTTGGTCAATGAAATTCAGTTAAAAATTTCACAAACAGAAGAGAGCTGAAAGTTTCAGGCTGGTCGTTTTGAGTACAGAAATACAAATGAAGTAAAAATGATGAAACAATTGTTATTTTATTTCATTCCGTTCATATTGTGTAGTTTGAGGTAGTCGGTCATCAAGAAACCTTGGACTTAAGCATCACGCTGGTCGGTACTGAGCAACGAGATTCTGAAGCAACTCGTACATCATGGGAGAAGCGAACCGGATTTTTTTCAGTTCGAGTCTCAAATGTTACCACTGAGTTATTTTTTTTTTGATAAATACTAAATATATTTCGGGTTTATGAAATGAACAAATTTATCCCAGTATGAAAAAATATTTTGGACCAAAAAATTAAAATGAAGTTCAGGTTTAGAATGTTTAGAGGTTGGTATCCGAATCAGGCAAAATATAATACATAATGGAACTCAAAATACTACTGATGTATTTTGTTAGTAACATATTGATGTGCAATAGAAGAAAATCGCTAAATGATTTGGTTAAATGTTTCCAAACAGAAATAAGGAGTTTGTGTTCGAGAGAATTTTGCATTATAATGAGTAGGGATAGATATGTAGACATTATTTTAGTCCTACATGTGTAGTCAGTGTATAATAAATGAACCGGAACAATGAACATTGTTCCATCTCCTAAAAAGTTTATCCATCTTTTTTTCTGGTTTCTAAAAAGTTTACTTTCAAAAACAGTGTAAATATGGTAGTTTCAATACTTGTGTCTGCTAATGTAATTGTGAAATACCAAGTGTAATTCAACTGAAATGGGTAAACTGTTCAATCTATTGTATGTATAAATATATCATAGAGATATTGACCAGTGTTACTAAAACACATTTATAGATAAACTGAAAAAAGATTTCAATACAATTTTAACTGGGACAATAACTGATGGAATAATGTAGTTAACTAAGTAATTCGTTTTGTATAAGTGCACAATTAAAACTTAAGGAGGAAAGATTATCACCGAAGTTCCAACCATGTGATTATAAATTGATTAGGTTTTAGGATATTTTAGTAATTTTAATAGTTGAGATTATGAGCCATTTGAAGCTAGACAATCATGAAAAACCTGACAGTAATGGACGGTCTTTTCTTCCTATTGTGGCATTCCTCAACGGTGCGCATTTACAGTACTTCCTCGCGAGATTCAAACAAAGGACCTATGGGTTTCGCGCGCCAACGCTTAACTTCTAAACCACTCAGTCGGCGTACTGCTAAAGAGTCTCACAATAGGATGAAACGGGCATACAATCCTTTTACGTTTGGCATGGTGGTCTAGCTTTAATTGACTCATGACCTCAACTAATAAAAAATATAACTATGGAAATACTGTTATATCTTGTGACCGAATGGATGCCTAGTCAATGTATGACGTGATAAAACCGTCAATCAGAGAGCAGCGAACTATCGATTGAAACAGTGACACACGAGCAGTCTAGAGTGCTAACCGGTCCTGCTTCTGCCTGGCCCAGCCACTTAAGTCTAGAACACCAATAACAGCCTCTGCAATATGAATTGTTATTTTCAAACATACTGAGTTTATATACCAAACAAACTGACCACATTTGTACAAGATTTAGCCGAATGTGGTTGTGAATAGGAGGAGCAGCAATTAATAGACTGGGGATAACTCATGAATGGTAAATCATACAATAATAGTCCAAAGGGTCAAAATAAAGCTCACAATGAAAGGAACATGAATATGAATGGTTTAATTATTTAGCCATTATACAATAAAAATATATACATAATATTGGTCCATAAATGAACCTCAAAGTGACCATTCACTATTGTTATTGGGGCATAACAATTATGTTCAATCATAAGATATAAAAATTATTTTTAAAAAATTTTCAATCTTCTTTTTAGCACCTATTTTTTTAAGGGAATATTTAAACTTAATTAATCATTACTAATTAAAACAAGTTTTATGATTTGGCAAACTAAACTATTTAATGAGTAGGATATATAGAAGTTGACAACAACAAAAAAATAATTTTTTTTCCTAAAAATATCATCAACACTTGCATATGAAATAAAACTAATGTACATAGAATACGGATAGAAAAACTGTTTCTTGACGAAGGTTGTTTTTTTTGTTGTTATTATCAATGGAAGTTAGAAGAAGCCACAATGTAAATCATTAATAATATCACTTTAAATTGTTTATTCTTATCCTTTCAATCTTTCACACACACACGCACATACATACACTTTTATATCTACATATGTATATGCATCCATGTATAGAATTAGAACTGATTTTTAAAAAAAACATGTTTTCTTAAGTATCATTATTTCATTTAGTTTGTATAGAATGATAATAATGAAAAACTGACCTAGAGTTAAATTATTATTATTTTTTATTTTTTAGCAATTAAAAAAATATAAATATTTTTTTCTTTTTTTCACAAGGGAGGGGGTTTGTTTATTTATTTCTAAAATAAAAAAAATAGAATACTTGATATGGATATATTCATGTATGAAAGATTTTAAAAGTAGTTTATTCTACTTATATATATACACTAATGAGTTCATTAATAATTATAAGTAATTATTGTCTCTCTCATTATAAATCTTTCTCTCCAGGTCACCTTTCAGATAAAAAAAATTAAGAAGGGGTTTTTTGTGGAGATTTTAACTATGAAAAATTAAGAATCTTATTATATTTAAAATGTGTTTTAGTAAAATATCATAGTAACTAGCAGTAGAATTTAGAACACCCATTTTATTTTGTCAAAAACTCACCTAAATTCTTAGTGTTGATGATCATAGCAATACTTTTGGTTATTAAATGATCATGTTATTCCATACGCTACTAAGTCTAGACAGCCTTTGGCTAGTGCAATGGGGATGAATTAGGTTTATAAGTGATTGTATTTAAAGATTGATCAATTACAGTCTTTACTATCAACGGGAAGATAGAAAAACTTACAAATTTTAAATGAAATGCCCAAGTGTTTTCTTTATCAAACTAAAAACATTTTCATGTTTAATAGTAAAATTATATTTTAATTCATAATAGAATATAGTTTTCACCATAAATCGTGAATAACAAAAGATAAATGGATACTTGTCAGCTATATCATCATCCTCTTTGTACTATTCAATAGTATGTACTTATCATCATACATGGAATTGATTTGAAGCTGTTGATCCACTCAATGAATTATGTATCATTCGGACATCAAGTCAAAACACGAATTACCGAACACTTGTAACCGTAGTCAATTTATGATACAGTTTTATTTTAAACAAGTCACAGTCATAACAAGGACTTTATTGATACCATACGTTACGATGTTTCATTATTACTTGTAGGGTAATTTATTTTGAAGCTAGCTAATGTCAGTGGACAGCAAAATCAATGAATCTCTGTAATTCATTTTTTATAAACTTAAAGCCAGCTCTTATTCAAACGGTATAACCTAATATAATGATATTTAGGATTTATGACATCTAATAATAAAGATAATAACTCCAGGAATTGAACAAATGCAATTAAATAACTGTTGCAGCTTTCAGAAACACGAGATTTGTAACGGTTACAATTATTTTACTTTCAGTCTATGGCGTTTGGGGGAGATTGTTTGATTATGTAATTCACATCATGGAAAGACTTCAGTTAAATAACCATTCGAAAATAAGAAGTAATAAACGGCTCTTTTGTTGTGTAATGGATTTCCACTTCTGTAGTACACGTCTGCGACCCCACAAGGTATCTAATCGAGGGTCTTTAGGTCAATGAGGATGAGTTCTCTGATAACGACACTGGAAGGTGGTTGTCAACTATCATGAATTGTTTGAATTATGGAATATTTATCATTATATGGCACCCCACTGGTCTAACGGTCAAGTTTACGCAGGATGATCTGAATGTCCTGAGTTTGCTAGCCAGTGGAGTCGTGAATGAGCAATCTTGAGGAGTTTCAAACAACGAACAGGAAGTTTTCAGTGATTGTCTTACTAAGATCAGTTGATGATTAGAACTTTAAAATTCTGTCTTCATCTATATAAGACTTTTTACCTAAAAACCTCATTTCCAAAAATAATTTTGCGAAATATGGTTTAAATAGACTAATTCTTTCAAGTAAAATGATGTCACATAAATAACAAAGGCATTAAGTTAAAACAATGAAAATCAGTAAAATAGAAGTTTCTTATGAGTTGAGAAAAGCGTGAGGTTTGAATATTGAAGTTGCCACCTAACACTACGGAAAAATTAAAATACGTCATGACGAATAATTGAACTTACAGAATGAACTGAATACTTATTATATTTGATGTGGTTTCCATTAAGACATTGATCGTATGACAGTGTTGTGATCTATTAAAACGCTTGAACAATTTATCACTTCTGACACTGCGATGCATATTAGACGGTATTTAATTAAATTAACTGAAAACTAAATAAATAATGAAATCGAAGAACCCAAATTTCTGGTACATATTTCTCACAAGAGATTTAGATTAACTGCTCAATTTCAGTTTAGTTATGAGTTGGAATCAACCGAGAAACTGTTATAAACAAGAAAACACTGAGCAAATACTTAAATGAATCACTGAATCTTAAGTGGTTCAAAGGTGTCGTGATTAACATGAGAACTGAAGGTCTTTGGTTCGATCTTTTGAAAGATCGTAGGTGCCTAATGCTGAGGACTCCGAAACTATGACGAAACAGCCATCTTATAACCATCGTTTCTTAATAACTGTCTTATCAAACTTTGTTCGTGACAATAATAAGTTTATTAGCTTTCAAAATTGACAAAATAAATATTTAACTTTGCATTTAACTTATGTATACATTTTTCAGGTAGTGAAACACAATTACTTCGTTTAGATATGGTCAACGGGCAACTGAAAGTATTTCTACACTTACCAATCACCGAAACCGATATTCAATTAGATGTAGCAGAAGGAAATAATGCAATTACTCAAAATCATGGCATTTACCGAAAAAACAAGCTATCAAGTTTATTTCAGTTGGATATATTGATTCAATCTAAACTGGACCCAACATTACGACTAGACGATAACCAATGGCACTCTATAATATTGGAAAGATCAAACTCATTGGTATATATATATATATATATATATATATATATATATATCTTGAATACAAGTGATATGTTTAATTGAAAAACGACTATACATATATTCTACTTCCTTAACTAAAACGGCGACCCATTTATCAAGAGCTACCTTCAAATTACATAAAGTCTTTACAAAACTATGTACGCAAATAATAACCTTATGCTAACTGGTAATAAGCTTAAAAACTGCATACTCTGTTTTCCACTGAAAAACCTGTACAGAGTTTTTGTAGAACACTAGTTCATTGATGGTTACGGATAAGAGTATTGTTAGACTGTAAATTAACTAAAACCTAAATGAAACTTAAATTTTAGCTCAGTAATCAAAAGGTATCATACTCTACTGGAAACCTGGTAGTTATAATTTCAGTCCAATGCACGTTCGTGAACTTGTACCGCAGAGAATTAAAACAGTTGTTCAATCTTGTTTTTTTTCATCGGACAGTCACGAAGAAAGACATTTATCTGAAGAAGCTGTTAAAGAACCATGGACATCCGAAAATAACCTAACAGCCGTTTTGTCTCACTTTAGGACTTTTTATCTGTAACACACACCCCTACATCACTAGTGATTGAGATCTAAACATTCAAGACTTGTAACGTGACTTTGACCTTTCAATCACTAAACCTAGATCAATTTGTTTACATTTCTAAATTCAACCGATTTGTAATATTCTGCTACGATATTCTTAATGCCTCACGCCCGACATAATTGAAATTCAGTGTACATAGAAGAATCAAAACAGAAATCATTACTTTCATTAATGACAGTCATCATTTGAGTTACATTTCTTCGATGGAGTTTTATTCCGTGAGCCAGATGGTTTGGTCGCCCTTCTGAATCACATCATCAGCACGAACTTCTGCATTTTTTATTTGGTATTTTGTAATACTTAACGTTGGAATCACGAGTATACTTTTATGATATAAGAACAGATCATCTATGCAAGTTCAAAATGATTATCAAATGTAACGACTCATGAAAAATCTGTTAATATTTAAGTCAAACAGAACAAATAAATTAATCAGAATGATTCAATCTAAATAAGCGATGTTTGGTTCAACTGGACATTTATTTAATTACTATAAAATGAACAAACTTTTTTGTTAACGTTTATCTATCTATACAATCATAAAGCTTTAGAGTTATTCCTTGAGTATTTTATACACCATCATTAAATAGTTGAATATTCATTGATGATTATAATCAGTAAATATATAATATTAAAGACGAAAAGTTCAGCCAAGAGACCTCTTTACAACGAATTTTTTATCAAGCTATACAATATATATGAAAATTTGTTTTTGATAAAGTACTAATTCCGTGAGGACATGTGAACACTAATAACTAAGATGATGTAATAGAAAGATTACAAGACTAGATTATGTAATACGAGTAATAATAATAGATTTAGTGATTGTAATAAGTTGATTAAAATGGATAAAATGTTTTTGTTACAATAATTAAAGGTCATTAAAGGTCATAGAGGTGTAAAAATATATAAGGTGATATGATAAGTATTCATGAATAAAATAATGTGGATATAAGACAAAAGTAAATGGGAATGCAGTGATAATAATAATAATAATAATAATAATAATAATAGAATAATAATATTAATTAAGGCCACTGTAATGATAAGACGTACTTCTTTTGTACGCATAGTTCTTGTTTAAGCTCATGGATGATAAGAGCTTCGGCTACTTTTAAGAGTTGGATACGAAGAAATCTAGATAGATTGAACGAATCATACCAACAACCTTGAAATCAAACTGTAGATCCATAGAATGCTTACAGTCGATTAGATGTTCAAGTAAAGAACTCCTAACTGCTTTCCTTTCACCCTTATAGAACCAAACTGAGATATGTTCTCGCATCCGAGTTGAAAGCGAGCGCTGGCTACGACCAATGTACCTTGCTCCACAAGAGTAGGTGAACTAGTAGATGCACATGGAATTATTTTTCAAATATATATATATATATATATATATATATAAATATATATATATATATATATAAGTAATTTTATAGTTGAGATCATGAGTCAATTGAAGCTGGACCACGATGGAAAACCTGAAAGCACTGGATGGCCGTTTCGTCCTATTGTGGGATTCCTCAGCAGTGCGAATCCACGATCCGCCTCGCAAGATTCAAAGACAATGGTGAACGGTTGCTCAAACATCGTGGATTGGTTGAAGTGAGAAATTAACACCATTGGATGCCGGACCAGTGGTCTATCGGTTAAGTGCTCTGGTGCGAGACTGGTAGGTCCTGGGTTCGAATCTCGCTAGGCGGGATCTTGGATGCGCACTGCCGAGGTGTCCCACCATTGCTTCCAGGTTTTCCATGGTGGTCTAGCTTCAATTGACTCATGATTTCAACTATTATGTATATATATTCAATCTTATAAATTTGTATTACCCTGCTATATAAATTTTTTTCTTTTTAATTATTTTTTAGTTACAAGTGTACATAGATAACAATTTGGTATTTACACGTTTACTTGGTTCACCTAGTTATCAACGTCTATATTTATTACATACACAAGTTATTGTTTTAGGTGGATCATATAAATTAGGTGATATATATCAAATGAATTCAATGAATATTATATCGGATAAAAATTTTATTGGTTTTATTTCAAAAGTAAGTCATAGATTATGAAATTCTTTTTACATATAGTTATAATTTGAATACTAACTATTTATTGTTACCATGAATGATCATTTGGAAAGCTGGAATATTTTGATGGAGTTTTGTTCTCTGAGCTGGATGGTTTGGTGGAAGTTCTTACAAACCTGTGTAGTATCGTCGATAAAGAAAACGGATCTAGTGCGGACGTAAAGGCGAGGATCGGTAAATCAAGGGCCTCATCCATACAGATAAAGAATAAATGGAACTCAAAACAACTGACAAGAAATATCAAAGTCAGAATCTTCAATACGAACGTCAAGACAGTCCTACTGTATGAAGCTTAGACGTGGAGAACTACTACAACCATCATCAAAATGGTACAAGTATTTATAAACAATTTTCTACGCAAGATACTCAATATCCGTTGGTCGGATACCAACATTAACAAACTACTATGGGAGAGAAAAAGTCGGTTCCTGTCTGAAGAGGAAATCAGGAAATGACGTTGGAGGTGGCTGTGATGTACACTTCAGAAATCATCAGGCTGGATCACAAAGCGAGCGATTGGAGTCCTTAGGTGTGAAGAACAAGGCCCGACGAAGGAACACATTATGCCGGGAAATAAAATCCAGCATCAAAAGAATAAATAGGACATGAGAACTCACAACAGAGTTGGAGATTGCTAATCTGTGGCCTATGCTCAAAAAGGGGTAAAAGGCGTAAATATGTAGTAAATATATACATCTTTAGCGCTTTGTTTAAATAAAACTATTTGGTTGCAAGTCTTATAAAAGATGAGTTTTACATACCGGTTGAACTAAAGAGGCATATTTTATCCTATTTGAGACGAGTTAGCTGCAAGTTAGCTACATCCAGCTATTTATGCTCATACTGAGATTCCAACTCAGTGCCTTTTCTTACATAGCCAACCCCATTACGATTGATCTGCTGTATCCACACAACTACCAGGTATGGTGTTTACATTTTTGTTAAAAAATGTTTAAGTTATCCTAATGGTATAGGCCGAAATTGCTTGAGCGCGTGCCCTGTTTAAAATATGACGTGATAATCCCCGCCAACTGGAGAGCAGTGAATATGTCGATGGACCCAATGATACACAAAACCCACACGAGCAGTCTAGAGCACTTGTCCGTCCTACTTTCTGCCTAGTTCACCCAGTGAAGTCCACAACACAAATAACAGACTCTGCAATATGAATCATTGTATTTCAAACATACTCAGTTTATATACCAAACAAACTAACCACATCGTTCCATGAAATAGAAAATAACATTTGTACAAAATTTGGCCAAATGTGGCTGTGAATAGGGGGAACAATAATTAATGGACTAGGGATAACTCAAGAATGGTAAATCGTATAGTAATAGTTCATAGGTCAAAATAAAGCTTATGATAAGAGGGACACGAATATGAATAGTTTAGTTACTTAACAATTATACAATAAGAAATATACATAACATATTGGTATATAAATAGTCCTCAAATTTACCATTCATAAGTCTCCATGAGATATGACAGTGTTTTATTGACAGATGTTTATCATAAGCGGATTGTCTCAAATTTTTCATTTGAACTCAAAATGTTTATTATCTAGAATATTTTACTTAACTTTTCATTATTTAATAGACTTTCATTTTTTTAAGTCATCATTTCAATAATTTATGAAATTTCAAAATTGTTTCCTACTTTCATCAATGTTAAACAACCTTATCACACTAAATTTTTTTCAGGCTATTTTTCAAGCAGATGCACTTGAAATGAATATTCTTGAATTTACTTTATCAAGTTTACATGGTTTTCGAATTCAATCAATATTACTTTTCACAAATAAAACTTATGATCAAGTTAATGAAATCAACCCATATACTACTAATAATACTACTGAACCAATTCAATTCATTCATATATGTGATTTAATTAATAATATGAATCAAATGATTACATCATCAATTTCTTTTAATTCAACAACAATATTGAATGAAAATATATTTATTACTTTAAAATTACCAACATTTATATTATTAGATCTATTACAGAATTCTATGGAATGTATTCAACAGAATTCAAATGATCCTATGAACTCGATTAATACATTAAAATGGATTAATATAGAAATACAATATAGTTACTATGCAACTAATCATAATGGTTTACTTTTCTTATTAAGAGATGATATTGATGGTAGATTGAAGCATTACAGTTTTATTAAGGATTATAATGAACAATTATCAAATGAAGATCATTTAGATGGGAATCTATTAATTGGTGCTGAATTTCGCCATAATAATCTATATCTTATTATACAAAAGAATAAACAAATATGGTTTGATATGAAATTATATACAAGATCTAATCCATTACGTAATATAAATAAGTTACATATAAATTATACAATGATATGGTTAATCAATGAAAATAATCATTCATTAGATGATTTATGGCCATTAATTAAAATAAATTATGATGATTCAATGGAGAATTGGATGACTGTGGGTCCAAATAATCATTATAGTACTAATAATAGTAACTATTTGACCTTAATAAATAATGAACAAGAATTAAAATTAATGAAAAATTTAAAAGTAGTCAATCATGTTTATGAGAAAATATGGGAGAATACATTATGGTTTGGTAGAACTTTATATTTAGGTGGTATGAATTATACAAAATCTATTGAAAGTGGATTATTTATACCAGGAATTCAAAATATTCATAATAAATATCAACATTTCCAAGGTTATATTACTAGGTAGGTGTTCAATTAGACTATACTATTTTAGATGTACAATATTCAATGATATGATACATTTTTATTCTACTTATTGTTGATGCTATGTACAATGGTCGATATGATTGTACATTTTTATTATCAAAAGGGGTTTTTGTGAAGATTTCAGTATTTTCTTAGTTGAAAGCGTGAGTCAATTGAAGCTAGATCAACTGGAAAAACCTGGAAGCACTGAACGGCCGTCTCGTCCTATTGTGGGACTCCTCAGCAATGCGCATCCAAAATCCCTCACTCGCGAGATTCGAACCCCGGACCTACCAGTCTCGCACCAGAGCACTTAACCGGTAAACCACTGATCCGGCATCCAGTGGTGTTAATGTCGGACTTCAACCGATCCACGAAATTGAGCAATTATTCACCAATGTCATCAGTGAGTTGATATCTCTCAACAGACCTGGTTGAACTTCACTGGTTACTGCTTCTCAGTAGGACTCCAAGAAATATCTCTTGAAGCCAGCCACTAGTAAGCACATGATCATTATTAGAAGGGGGTTTGGTGGAGATTTTAGTAATTTTATAGAGCTGAGGACTGGTAGGCAATGAGTTCGAATCTCGTGAGTGAGGGATCGTGGATGCGCACTGCTGAGGAGTCCCACATTAGGATGAAACGGCCGTCTAGTGCTTCCAGGTTTTCCAAGGTAGTATAGCTTCAATTGCCTCATGATCTCAACTCTATAAAATTGCTAAAATCTCCACCAAACCACTTCTGATAAAGAAATATTTGTCAATTTTGACCAAAACTAACCTAACTGATTATTATCTTACTTTAGTGAACAAACACTCAAATGAGGATAGCCAAATTACTGTATAATACAACATTACAGAATATCTTGGTAAAATATGAGAACCATACTTGGTTTGCAAATCTTTCATCAATTGTCTTTCACATTCTGTATGATTCTTCCAATTCATAATTGCTTTCTATTTCTCGATCTTCTAAACCTTTTGTTGCCATGCATTTCATTTCCAACTAATGTCATATACTACTTAAGTCGTAAGGTATAAGTAGCATACACCACACTACAGTAATCATAGCATACTTGATTAATCATTCAAACTATTAAGCACACTGATAATATATAATTATGATATATTGGATAGAATTAGACACCACAACTTTGCCAATAAACCAATGGACAAAATGAATATTGGATTTTATTTATCAACTTAATGGTAATATTCATTTTAAATCTTCCTAACTATTCATCATTCAAAAACTACCTTTCATTGTAAAATGTCAATTACGATCAAATAAATTACATATAATCGTTTTTAATTTTTTTTATAGACAAAATGACATATTTGATTGCACCTCCCTGCTCCCCCCCCGCATTTTTTTCTCGAAGAAATAGTATCCACTGAAGTTTCACTTTTTTTTCTGTTACAGTAAACTATTTAATTTCAATTAACTATCAAATGAAATGAATTTAATGAAAATATCTATCAGAATGTTAGTAATCACTGATGTATGTACGTAAGAAGTTCTACGTTGTGACTGACTGACTGAATCATTGATATATATGAATTGATGTTAGAATAGATTAATATCTGTTAACTTGATTAATATCTAAAAATATAAATAATCAAATGGTAAATATAATAAATAGTTTTTTTTTTTTTAAAAAAAGGAAACAAGGACAGATAAAAATTAAATTGTTTAATAAAAACAAAGAACAATAGATTTAATCATGTCACTGTTCAATTAGCAGAGTGTTATGATTTATCAATGATTTTGTTCGGAAAAATTATATTAATGAAATACATTGGTAAAAAATTATTTATCTTGTTATTGTTTGTACTGGAAATATGTTGGGTTTTTTCGTGTTTTTTTGCATGTGCATTGCTGAGGAGTCCCATAATAGGACGAAACGGCTGTCCAGTGCTTCCAGGTTTTCCACGGTGGTCTAGCTTAAATTGACTCATGATCTTAACTATAAAAATTACTAAATCTCCACAAAAACCCCCTTGTGATAATGATCATATGCTCACTAGTGACTGGCTCCTTGGGGTAATTCCTGGAGTTCTAATGAGAAGCCGTGGCCAGTGGAGCTAATCCATGTCAGGTAGAGACAGGTATTTACCTCAGTACATTGGAAGTTGGTCGCGCAATTTCGTGGATTGGTTGAGGTTAGACATTAACACCGTTGGATGCCAGCTCAGTGGTCTATCGGTTAAGGGCTCTGGCTCGAAACTGGTAGGTCCTGGGTTCGAATCCCGCGAGAGTGGGTTCGTGGATGCGCACTGCTGAGGAGTCCCACAGTAGGACGAAACGGCTGTCCAGTGCTTTCAGGTTTTCGATGGTGGTCTAGCTTCAATTGACTCATGATCTCAACTATTGACATTATTATAATATCCACAAACCCCTTCTGATATTATTCATGTGCTCACTATTGACTGGCTTCAAAAGGTATTTCTTGGAGTTTTAGTGAGAAGGAGTGACCAGTAGAGTTCAATCAGGTCTGTTGTAAGATAGTAACTCACTGAAGATAATGGTGGATGTGTCACTCAATTTCGTGTATAGGTTGAAGTTAGACATTGACACCGTTGGATGCGGGCAGGCTCAGTGGTCTAGTGGTTAAGCGCTTGGGTTCAAAACTCGCGAGTGAGATCGTGGATGTGCACTGCTGAGGAGTCTTACAATAGGACGAAACGATCGTCCAGTGCTTCCAGGTTTTTCATAGTGGTGTAGCCTCAATCGACTCATGATCTCAACTATTGAAATTAAAATAAATGTTTTGTTGTATGCGAAATTAATCAGCTAAATGTACTTAGATCCCAGTATTGATGTTCATACAAGAATTCGAACATATTACATTTTACATTAAACACATAAACATTTTTGTCATAGTTAAAAGTATTTGAATTTGTGTATAAATTGATAATTTCCGAAATAACGTAATTTAGATCCAGAAGAACTAGATGGACACTAACAAACATATTGTATTTAGAATTTGAAATCAGGCACAAATCAAGAACAAATGATTCATTAGTTCATATAAACATCACAATTTTTCATTGATAGTCATTAATAGTAATTAATTATTCCGTAGACATAAAAGATACATCGTTTTATACTTAGATATGGTACATGTTGTCTTTTATCAGAAACATTTTGCTCTGATTTAATTACCACGGTGATAAGTATCAGTACCACTGAAAAATTGTAATCAATTTTAAACATATGAATTATCACTTAGTACTCGAGTCCCAGAGTGAACATCAACTTTGAGATGCAGGTACATCCAGCTGAAGAGTCCCGAATAGGACGAAACGCGCGTCTTGGATTCAACTGCTAGCCACTACCCATCTTTGCTTATATGAATTATCAGTTGCAAACTTGAATAATACTAACTTCAAAGAATATTTTCTTTACATTAAATCATTATAACTTGAAAAAGAAGAATTTTTATTTTATATTCTTTTCAAATGAAATAAATGCAATTTTTATGTTCTTATTCTTAATTAAAGACAGGGACTTAATTATTTTGCCAAAGAAATTGTAACTACTTATTTATTGGAAATATAAAACCATATTAATATTTATTTTAAAAGAACTACCACATCTATTTTATGTCACTGACTGATATTAGTTAAATAACTACTGAAAATCAGAAAGTATTGAACAGTTCTTTTGTTTTACTATGGGATTCTTCAACAGTGTACATCCACCATCCTATCTGGGATTAAACTTCAGTCTAGTACGCGTGGATTAACCTCTAGATCAGCGAGATTGAATCTAATGATACAGATACTGAATTCTAATCAGTTTAAGAGAATACTCTACCTTATCACATAGCCTGCGATGTACAAATGTTTCACATTCAAAATAGCCAGTCCCCCTCTAGTCACAACTTCACACTGGAAATTCGTACGCTTGAGATCAATGGTCATGCGTTCGATCCTTGATGAGGTCGTAGATGATTTAGAATAAAGTGAATCTACATTTTTTTCACAAGTGATTTCATGAAAATAAATTTTGTCTTAACAGATTAGAAAGTTAGGAAAAAAAAATCTTTTTTGGTGGTTATATTCCATAAACTCTATAGTTTAATAACACAATTTACATCAACGTTCTGGTCAGCCTTATTAGTGTCTATTCGAAATAGAAAAGAACGTTAATGATTTTACTTAAAATAACCAATCAAAATCCGCAAGTTGATCTTCTACCTTAGGAACTGAAACTGCTATATCCGATGGCGATTTATGAATGGTAACCTCGTGAATTACTTATGGACAAATATAATATGTATGTTTCCTATTGTATGATTGTTAAGTAACTAAACTATTCATATTCGTGTCCCTCTTATCATAAGCTTTATTTTGACCTATGAACTATTACTATACGATTTACCATTCTTGAGTTATCCCTAGTCCATTAATTACTGTTCCCCCTATTCACAGCCACATTTGGCCAAATTTTGTACAAATGTTATTTTCTATTTCATGGAACGATGTGGTTAGTTTGTTTGGTATATAAACTGAGTATGTTTGAAATACAATGATTCATATTGCAGAGGCTGTTATTTGTGTTGTGGACTTCACTGTGTGGGCTAGGCAGAAAGTAGGACGGACAAGTGCTCTAGACTGCTCGTGTGGGTTTTGTGTATCATTGGGTCGATCGATAAAATCATTGCTCTATGATAGGCGGTCTTATCACGTTCATATATCAAACAGGGCACACACGCACCCACACAATATAACAGAAACACAATGAATATATTCACCTGATAAACAAATCTTATTTAAATCTATTCACATAATCTACTGAGTTTCAAACAAGATAGTCAGAATTCAATTTGTTATTGCATTAGACTAAATACTAATTTATATCAAATAATTTAAAATCTAAAGTAAGTTTCTTAAAATGAACAAACATCTGAAAGAACCATTCTTTATCATTTGGGATTATTTGAAAAAGAAACTTTTAAATTATCTTGATCATCTTGAAAGTTCTTGTAATTGAATAACTCAGATTTGATCAAAATTAATTTGGGATGCTCATATTTTAGTCAAGTATTAAATGACTAGTACACTACAGCTGTATATATTGTACCAGATTTATGAAAGAGTGCTTTCACGTAAAAAACAAACTTCATCATCAATACAGATATTAATTATGGGGATTAAAATAAATTAACTAAACTACAAATCTTATTAATAAAGGCATTTAATGATGCAATCGACATGTTCGAATCAAAAGGTATGTCATAAACAAAGGTTTAAAAGTCAACAAATTATCACTTGATTGGATTATTTAAGTTATAGTCAAACAGTATCATTAATATGAACAATAGGAAGATTCAAACCCTTAAAAGTAAACTATAATTAATTCTTGTTGTGGCAACCAATAACTCTTTGACCTCAGTTGCTAAGTGGATAAAAAGTTAGGGGGGTTTAAATCAGAAGATACTGGATATGAGTTACTGTCTGAACATTAATTGTGGGTTACAGGTACATTCAGTCGGTTAGTTCTCAATAGAATGGAATGAGTATCCTAGACTTCACTGCATTAACTACCCAGCTTTACTTATAAATGCTGATGACATAATGACATCATTGAAGCATTCCACTGAAGAAGCACATATACCAAAAATGGCTAATCAGTCGCTGTTTCTTATATTGAAAAAAGAAAATATGAAGATTATCACAACTGATTCACATTATGAATTCATTGTTTTTAATCAATAAATTGTATTCTGAAATGATAATCTATTTATACTTAAAACTACCGGCTTTATATATACATAACCACTGTAAGTATTGCGAATACACTAAAGTTGTCTATTTATTTTTTTACATTTTATTTACATAAGGGTAACAATTAATGGTTTACGTTTGGATTTACAATCAGCTATTGAAGCACGTCTACGTTATTTACAAAGTATCCATCATGAAAAAATTCAAACAATTACAGACTTCTCTTTTCCTTTAAAGTGTAATACTACTAATAATAATGCTACAACAGAAATTTTACCAACTATTTGCCCATCATGTTCATTAAATAAACAATATCATCATCTTCAAATAGAGAGATTATTAAACTCATATATGTATAACTCATCTGAATTAAAAGAATGTGAGTTATGTCTAGTAGGACAATATGTGCATTTTGTTTTTTTCTTTTTCTTAAATTTAAAAGTTGAAACAGCTAGAAAATTGTAAGAAATTAGAGATACAGGTGATCCTTAACAACATACATATGTACATATAAGAACTTTTGTTTAAATTAGAGTGAATAGTTTCACAGTATTTGGGCGCCGAGTTGTTGTAAGACATTAAATAGGAAGAATATATTTGTAGAATCTCAGGGAATGAATTTGTGGTAAATCCAACATTCCGCCTGGCAATCTGGTCTAAGCTTTTTCAAGGAAATTACATATATATGCATACTTATATTCCTGATGTTATCATCCTATCCATAAACAAATTTCTATTCAAAATAAACTTAGAATCCAGCAATATTATGTTTACCCTGGTTATCATTGTAAATGAATGTTTTGTCGGATCGTTGATTTAGGTTAGTCCAGTATAAATATTATTTTTCTTATAAGATTGAGATTATTTGAAGAAGTAATGAAAATAATGGAGCATAGAGATTTTATGTTTTAGATAGATATCAGTCATTAGTTCGTACTTATGAATCAACACGAAACTGATCGCATGGTTGAGAATCATACTGTAATATAAACTGACTTATAGATGACTATATTTTGACTTAAGAGTATGCCAAATAAATAAGCTCTCTAAGAGTCGAGGACAACTGGGATTGATTCATGCAGAAATCATAGAATATACACTTTCAGAGATACCAAATCATGGTAAAATAGATATCAAGTAGACTCCTATTTAAGTGGTATGCTGTGTATCATTAATACCACTTCAAGACTACATAAAGTTTACTAGGCGGTCAAATATAAAGACTATTTAGGTAGACTAAAATTGAGAATAATGAAACATGATTCGTTCAGCTTATAACCAATAGCGAGAGTAATGGAAAAGATTAGTCAGTTAATTAGTTTTTTACACTGAATACACACGTCTAAAATAATAAATATACTTTTGTTATGTTCCAATAAGTAGAAAAACTGTATTTCTGATGTTTCTGCTCAGTTACTTACTTACGTCTGCTACTCCCAATGGAGCACAGGCCCCCAATCAACATTCTGCCGGTCCCAAGCCCGGATAAAGGAGGGGAGTTGAGCATAGGGTTACGACCTCATCCCGTAGAAAACTAACTAATAAAACGCTAACTAGAAATTATTCTACCCAGGAGCATATAACAAAAATACATTTATTATTAACATTCTACTTAATGCTCAATCTATTTGAAAGTATCATATCCAACATCCTTTCATGTTTATTGCGATAATAGGTAGATGAATTGACTAAACAATGTATCAGGGAAATGAAAATGATCGTATTGTATTCTCTTGTACTCACAGGTTAAGTTTGATCATATAAATCCTTACTTTTCTCAGTATTAAAAGTGAAACTTCGATTAGATTGAATATGTTGTAGTATATAATTTTAATAGTGTCATTTACATCTACTGTTGTAGTTTTAGTGTCAAATGGATGAGTGAGGATGAAGTTGTATACTTTCCTCACACTTTGGTTAGTGTGAGCCCATTTGAAGTGAGTCTATAGATTTAGTTAATCTAGAACATAAACTTAGGTGTACTAGACAGCCTATCTCTTTACAAGAACTCATCACCACGTGTCAGAATTTGCTTGTTATGGGATGTTATTACCTATATAATAGTGAGAAGTTATGATAATAATCTAGTAAAAACGAACTATTTTATCTCAGGTTTTGCGGTTTCTTTTTAAAATCTTCGTTTTATTTGCACTTGGTGTTGTTTACTTCTACCTTCTCATTGTTATTTAAGACTACAATTGATTCGTCTCTTGTTGGCATATGAATATCTTGTGAGGTCTGTCTCGATATTGCCTGAAGTCACAAGCTTTATATGCAACGACGGATAGTGGCTAGCAGTGGAATCCAGGACGCGCGTTTCGTCCTATTCGAGACTCTTCAGATGGATGTACCTGCATCTCAAAGTTGATGTTCACTCTGGCACTTGAACTTAGTACCGTTCGCTTCAAACACCATCCAGCTGACGAATCACAAATTGGACGAAACGCGCGTCCAAGGTTCCACTGCTAGCCACTATCCATCAATGCATATCTTCGTTTTATTAGTTTAAATATTGCTGTGACTAACAATTCTACTCAACCTAAGAAAGATATTTTTATATTGACTTAAAAATTGTTTCAAGGATGTAAATAAATAAATTCTTCCCATTCCATGTATTTTATTACAAAGCTACACCAATTCTACATTTCAATGGATTACAGTTAATACGTATTCAATTCCCTGTTCAACAATATTCATCATTAATATGGATTGTAGTTATGTTTCAAACAAATCATTTGAATGGTACTATTCTATACACAGAACCTGATTTACAATATAAAGTGAATATTATAGATAAGTTTATACCACGTAAAATTAATAAGAAGAGATTCACATATGAAGAAATCAATAAATTTATTTCACCTATACAACAACAATCACAACAACAACAGAAAACAAATCAACAATTTATATACAATGAGTTGTTTGGATCAAATCATGACAGTTTTCAAATATTACTTGTAAATGGTCATATTCATGTGAAATATATTATCGGTAATAAATATGAAGTAAGTCTACTCATAATGGATGTGATACTTTTATTTAAAAAAAAAACAGGAATATTATTTCGTAAGGTAGCCTTCTTTACAGAACGGGATGATATATTATGAGCAAAGATGGATAGTGACTAGCAGTGGAAACGAAAACGCTCGTTTCATCCTATTAAGGACTTGTCAGCTGGATGTACTTGCATCCCAGAGTTGATGTTGCTTCCAGGACTCGAACCCAGTACCGTTGATAAATTATTATAATTTCATATTTATAACTGGTTTACTGATAGAAAATATAATTATGGAAAACAAACATTTTATGAATATCGACTATTTGTAAGATAAAAATCAACTAAATATAATCTGTAATTGTGATGAAGTGATTTGATACGTTCTATTTTATAAACAACAGATATTACAGAATGCTTGATTAATGATTGTATACTGTAAAAATTAGTATAAAAGTTGTTAAACACATGAATTCGGCTACGTATTTATTATTCAAGATTATGTATTTAATACACCATAGGATCCTAATCGCAAAGTATTTCAACAAGTTTCTGTTTATTATTTCTTGATCGATCCTGACGATAATTATTGAGTGATCGACAATTAGATGTTAGCAGTTCAGGAATTGATATTTGAATAATGTACATTCTTTTTGATGTATATTGCCAGTAACCACAATGTCTCTGATTGTGCTCTTTCCTAACTTGTACAGCGAAAGGTCGTGAACTTTTCACAAACGCACCTGAATAAGTTATGAAATTAATAATGATCTGTTAAAACAAACAAAAGACAAATAACTTGTTGAAATATCTAGATGGTATTAATAGGTAGCCCAGATGTACAAGCAGGCCGTATAGATTATGTATTACAGAATGAAATAATTAGATATACCTCTTATTCTACAGATTTATAGTTTTTCTTTAAATATGTATTTTTAACAGAGAATCAAATAATCTCGTTGTTGACATTCCGGACAAAATTTTCCGTCAACATATGCGTATTGTATGGGTTTTTTCTCGACTAAGTCATTGAATTGGAAGCTTATTAGAATAGACGGATTTTGGCTGGCATTGGAATTAAGGAAGGGTGTTCCATTCTATTTAGGATTCGGCAGCTAAATTTACATTCATTTCAGTGTTAATTTTTTCAGTAGTTCTTAGAAAAATACTTCAATTTGAAGACAATTTCAACCAATAATTGATTTGAAATAAAGGATCATGGGAAACTAGTAACTTAAGTGTCTTTTAACAATTATATAGAGTCTTAAGTAGATGGATATTGATAACATGAACTGCTAGATTTCAACTCAGTGATCTAAAAAACATTCTATTTACGTCAAGGCCAAATACGTTTGGATTTTTTAGTGTATGGTTGATTTGAGTGCTCACTGATGAACAGTCACAACTAGAACGAAGTAGTTGTCTAATATATCTTAGTATCATAAACTCATAACGAAAATTAACCATAAATTACACTGATTTTCACTAAAAGAAGTCTATCACAAAAAGATACTTTCCTTCGGTAGGTAGAAATCAGGTTTTGTCTCAGCGATAGAGGAACACTTAGCTATTTATGGAGATTTTCAGATGAAGTGGTTTTAGACATTTTTTATTGACTCTATTTTCAATATTATCATTTCAAGTTGAATATCCTTAGCTGTTTGTATGACTTGTTAATTACTGTCTATTGCTATGATGCATGACAGAATCCATCTAATGTAGGAGAACCAAACATGAAATAATGTAAGTTTCTAAAATCACATCTATAAGTTCAATTACAATGATCATATAATAAAGAATTGTTTTCACCATGACATAGAGTATATTTGAACGAGTCAGTTACATGAGAAAACCTCTATCGGTAAGTATTATCGGATTGCTAGTTTATTAGGTAGAATTATGATCTGCACAAGCGATTTGTTTTGATCTAATTTTAATGAACTAAAGAACGACGCATGCTAGATAATTAATAAAAACGACTGAGACTGGTACTAGCAGTAGCTTTTGTCATAATGAAGCACAGAAATACCGGATTATAGTTCATGACCTGTGACTGTTATATATATATATATATATATATATATATATATATATATATATATATATATATATATATATATATATATATAGTTACGAATGGAAAATGATTAAATATCATACTGATTGGCCGATTAATAACGGAAGAACTATCCAATAGCATAATTAATTCAGACTATGTAGCGGTATGAATCAAAAATCACAGTTATAGAGATGTTTTATTTTATCAACCAACAGACTAAAATATTGATATTCAATTTAGTCATATGATTCCTCATATATATGCATGTACTACTTGTATTGTATTAATAATACTCTTTGCAATATGTATAATGAATCGTAAACTTTACATGCACTACAGTTTGGTTTCAAAATAAATCATTTTGTTGATTAACTCTGAAAACAAGCAGTGGAGTTTAAACCACGTCTGTTGTGAGATAGGAACTCACTGAAGACAATTGGTGAACGGTTGCTCAACTTCGTGTATTGGTTGAAATTAGACATTAACAACACCGAATGACAGCTCAGTGGTCTGTCCGCAAAGTGCTCTGGCGCGAGACTGGTAGGTCCTGGGTTTGAATCACGTGAGGCGGGATTGTGGATGCTCACTGCCGAAGAGTCCCACAATAGGACGAAACGGCCGTCCAGTGCTTACAGGTTTTCCTTGATGGTCTAGCTTCAATTTACTCATTCTTCCAACTATGAAAATTAAATGTTTGTTTTTTCTGTTCTTACATAATCAGTCAACTTTATCTAATAAACAACATAAGAATAATTGGTTTAATGCCATGAATGTTTCTTTGTTTTTGTTTTTTCCTTCATAAGGTATATGAATTACCCGTGTTTTTATCCGATGGAAAATGTCATCATTTTGAATTGATTCATAACAATTCATATATAACTATTCATTTGGATAAAAATGTATTTAGTCAACGTATGTATGCCTTTTATGAGATTATTTGTCTTATTTAAAAGTCGCAACAAAATTTCTTTATTTCTCAACCAGTGCTTGTGTTAATTCATTTGATATTATATAGTTGAGATCATGAGTCAATTGAAGCTAGACCAATATGGAAAACCTGAAAACACTGGATGACCATTTCGTCCTATTGTGGGACTCCTCAGCAATGCGCATCCAGAATACCGCCTCACGAAATTCGAACCTACAATGGTGAATGCGCACAGCTGAGGAGTCCCACAATAGGACGAAACGGTCGTCCAGTGTTTCCAGGTTTTCAATGATGGTCTAGCTTCAATTGATTCATGATCTCAACTATATAAAATTACTAAAATCTCCATAAAACCTCTTTCTCATTTGGTATTAGTTCATTCCTAAACAACTCGATTTTGATAGAGAATAAATTTTTACAGTTTAACAGGTTGAAATTAAAAAAATTTAGGAAAACTTAACATAGTATTTATTAGATTCAAGTTAGTAATACATCTACTAGAAAGTTGAATACTTTTTTCGTTACATTGTGATTGAAATCAAATAGATGTGATCATCTACGCTTGTTGAAATACTACCTTACATAAAACAGTTTTTATCGCTTTTTCAACATTCCTTGTTTTTCAGTTATTAATTGTGATGATAATCACTATGATAAAGTGATTTAAGACTTAAAGAATAATTAATAAGCTTACGACTATGTGAAGCAAGCTCTGTTGATGTTAATATGACCGACGATGAATGTTCTGCAATCAAACTGTTTAGCTTGGGGCACCCAACAATACCAAAAGTATCTATCTGACCATCAAATCTTCTCCAATAACAATCAATACTACAACTTACACTGGCGACTGCAAGATATTCTGATACCATATGTATATCAAATAATATTTAAGAATAGTTAAACTTATAAACAATGAACAACTTTTCTGATACAAGCAATATTTCTGATAGCTTAGTCAACATGATGTAAACGATATGTCTAATTAAACTAAAAACTAAATAATAATGAAGAGACACGTTTACTGATAATCTGTCTGTAGTCCGAAGTTTATTAAGATCATAAGCAATAGACATTTTCTCATAGCTGAAGTCAATAAATTATCAACCAGTGACTATGTAAACTCAGTAGCTAAGTGTAAAGTGAGTTGAACGTTTAATGCGAAATGGACTAGATCTTAGTTAAACAACGACTGGCGAATATCAGGGAGCCCAAGATAACTAACTTATCCTAGCATAGAACTTTATTGTAATGCTTGACCACAACTCAACCGGAAATCAAATTATCAACTTGTGAGTATCGCGATGAACGCTAAATTTTCAAACTGAATTATCTCTGCAAACGTATTCTACTCTTTGAAAGCAATTTTTTCAAAAATATAAATTTACATTTCGAAGAATAAAAACTGTTCTCCTTTCCTGTTCTTTATTTTTCTATAGGGACAAATTTAACCATTACAGAATTACCCGTTCAACAAATAATTATTGGATCATCCAATTCATATGAGTCGTCATTATTATCAATAAATCCTAGGATTAATCAAATTAATGGTTATAATGGTGATATAGCATATTTTTCATATAACGGTCTCGAACTATTATCATACAAGAAAAACAATGTACCCATTCAATATCCATTAAATAAAAGTAATTTGGAAAATAGCTTTGAATTCTCACTTAATCAATGGGTGATTGAATTTACTGCCCAATTATTTCAATATAATGTAAGACATAGGCCAATCAGTTATGACTTTCCTATACAATTTAAACAATCCAAATGTTATCTTTCAATAATCAACGAACATTTTGAAAATGTTCCATTACTTGTTAAGTTTTCTTTTAAAACATCAATTGATCAAGGTATATTGTTATTTATTTTAAATAAATTAAATGATAATTTTCTACTGATTGAATTAATCAGTAGTCAATTATTATTCACAATACATTTTAATAATGAATTAATAACAAAGAAAATAACAGCCATGTCAAGGAATAAAAGAGTATTCTTTAATGATTCACAATGGCATACAATTGAATTATTCAAGTAAGAAAGGCTTTTTGTTGCTGTTGTTGTTGTTGTTGGTCTTTTATTCAATAATAACATATTAAATTCACTGAGGTTTGTTTGTTTGAATCTTCCCATTGATGTTTAGGACTGCAACTGGTCAATCTCTAATTGGCATATGTGCATACTGTGTTATTGCCTCGATATAGCCTTAATTCACAAGCATTATAAGCAAAGATCGATATTGACTAGCAGTGGAATCCAGGACGCGCGTTTCGTCCTATTTGGGACTCATCAGCCGAATGTACCTACATCTCAGAGTTTATGTTCACTCTGGGATAACGCGATCGCGTTGGAAGCGAAAGGTACTGGGTTCGAGTCTCAGAGTGAACAACAACTCTGAGGTGCAGGTACATGCAGCTGACGATTCCCAAATAGAACGAAACGCCTGTCCTGGATTCCACTGTTAGCCACTATCCATCATTGCTTACAATAACATATTAACACTAGATTTATTTATGAAGTGTACGTTTTTCTTTTTTCTTTTTTCATTTGTCATTGTAAAACTGAATAGTTCAACTAGATGTTATGAAGTGATTTGTAAAGTTCAGTTAAATTTAAATATAAATTTTTGTAATGATGTGATGACAATCTAAATACCATTAATAATGGAGAAGTAATTAAAAGATATTTTATGTTAGTTTGAGGTACTTATAGTCCTCAACAGGATTCGATTCAAAATCTTAATGTTTTTTTTGTGATAACTTGTGTGGCCACCTGGATACCTTGTTAATGTATAACGAGATGATTACCGCCAATCAGAATACAGTGAATTATCGACCGAACCAAATGACACAAGGAAACCGTACGAGCAGTCTAGAGTCCTTATCAGTCCTGCTTTCTGCCTAGCCCAGCCAATTAAGTCCAGAACACTAATTACAGCCTCTGCATTATGAATCATTTACTGGGTTTAAATACCAACCAGACAGACCACATCGTACCATGAAATAGAAAATAAAATTTGTACAAGATTTAGCTAAATACGTCTGTGAATAAGGGAGATAGTAATTGATAGACAGGACATAACTCAAAAATGGTAAATTGTATAATAATAGTCTAGAGGTCAAAATAAAGCTCATACCACGAGGGACATTAATATGAATAGTTTAGTTATTTAAGGTTTATACGATAAAAATATATGCACAGTATTGATCCATAGACGAATCCCAAAGTTACTATTCACTATTCTTATCGGGACATAACACCTCCCTTTTTTGAAAGACCCGGAGTTGATATGCGGATTTTAAACTTCCCGAATTTATACCCAACTCGCAATATACCACTTTTATATGAATCATTTGTAAACCAGGAGTTTATATTGAAAATTTTAATTAGTTTTTCATAGAAAGAATAATGTTGCACTGATTATTTACAAAGATTTAGATGTATTTGTGAAATTCTACTAAACATTCATGACAGTTGAAATTTAACTAACTGATGTCTGTCTATTACAAAAAGCTAATTTTATTTGATTCGTCGAATTAAGTACTGTTAACAATAAAAGTATCTAATTTATAGAGGTAACTGATTGGAAAATCTGTATATTATTGATCAATAAGAAAAAATGTTTGAATTAAGCAATGATGGATAGTGGCTAGCAGTGGAATCCAGGAGGCGCGTTTCGTCCTATTTGAGACTCATCAGCTCAACGTACTTGCATCTCAGAGTTGACGTTCACTTTGGGACTCGAACCCAGTACCTTCTTCTTCAAACGCCATCGCGTTATTCACTCAGTTACTGAGTCTTGATAGCCACTTGTTTGTGCAATGGGGTGAAGTTATATTCACTTGTTATTGTTTACTTGTATCTTCCCATTGTTATTTAGGACTGTAATTGATCAGTCTCTAATTGGCATATGTGCATCCTGTGCGGACTACGTCGAAATTGCCTGAAGTCACAAGCTTTATAAGCAAATTATCATAGATAAATTTTTAGACCTGTTATGTTTTCCTCCTATCGTCCATTAATTATCACCATCATCAAGTAGATACAGTGCGCGATTGGTATAATTATTTTCTCATGTCCAATTAATGTACTAATCCATTTCTCAAATTTCTAACTAGAACTCTAGAAAGTTCAGTCAAGTACTTCGTATCATTGCTTACTATTACAATTTGAAACCATGTGAAATTATATACATAAAATATAAAAGCATCAAGCAAATATTCCTAAGATCCTTATCCCCGAGAATTCTAAGACACAGTCAGAATCTGGAATAAGGATGAATATCACCTCGTTCACTGAGTATTCAATAGAAACTTCCCTGGAAGTTTCAGAAAAGCGACGGATTATATATCATACTGATTTAATTATTACCTGTACTGTTACTTTATTTACCATACTTCGGCAAGTTTCTTAATTTAACCACAAAACTCTAATCACTCTTACTTTCTTTGCACAAGACAAACTTCTGCTCTTACTTTGTGATTTTTTCGTAGTGTTCACAGCTGAAAAGTAGAATAAATCTAGGGAATAGGATGTCATTAATGAGTATTCGAGTGACAAACTTATCAAATATCAAAATAAAACATGGTCCACTTGTCTAATAAATGTGCATTAAAAATATATAAAGTCTAAAACTGTGGAGACATCGACATCCAAGTGTAGTGAACGAGAACACAAGTGCGGACAATGGTCTGTATTTAAGCACAAAATTACAGAACTTCTTAGTAAAATCTGAGAACCTTATAGTAAATATATAATTTGCAAAATGTCAATCATTTGTTTCAAAGCTCACTGTTCCTTATGGAAATATCAGTCAATCGTCTCAGAGTTCATTGTTCTTTTGTTGTAACACTAATCATTCTCTGTTTTTGTTCTCTTGTCTTCGATCTTCTTAACCTTATATTGCCAGGCATTTCACTTTCAAGTGATGATACAAACTAATTATATTCGTCGACATCATTAGCATACATCACACCAGCATCAAATTATCACCTTTACTTCTTCATTTTAAAGAGATCTTTATTCTTTCATTATGATTTTCTATATATATTATCATATATATATATATATAATTTCTAACCTACGGAAAAAAGTAAATTTTTCTCATCAAAATGTAAAGTTTAATTATCAAACCATGTGGCTTCACTTAACTATAATAATAAGTCCAAGTATGTATTTTGAATTATTATATATTATATACTTACGACTGTTATCCCTCGTGGAGGAGCATTGGCCGCCCATCAGCATTCCCCATTCAAACCCTGTCTTGGGTATATTATATATATATATATATATATTCGTAAATTAAAAAAAAACAATTTTTTCTTTTTTTTCATAATTTCAGGGTGAATAAAGAAAATAATTTATTGACCATTCGATTAAATACACAAACATCAATTGAATTATCTACTACTACTACTACTACTAATATAGATTTAAATGATATATTTAATATTAAACAATTATTTTCAAATTCTATAATTAATATTGGTGGTTGTTCAATGTCAGATTTTATAAAATTTCAAGGCAAAATTAAATCAAGATTCGGTTTCCAAGTAAGTTTATTTAAAGATGTTTGTAATAGGATTGACAAACAGGATTAGAATGATTAATCTTATGTTAAAGTTTGATTTTTCATTGTTTTTCAGGATTTTATTAATCATTGTTAAATCATAGCTATGAACTTCTTTAAACAATAATGAATTAGAGTTGAATTCATGAGTCAATTGAAGCTAGACCACCATAGAAAACCTGGAAGCACTAGACGGCCGTTTCGTCCTATTGTGGGACTCCTTAGCAGCAACTACAAAAAATTACTAAAATCTTCACAAAATACCCCTTCTGACAATAATCATGGGCTCATTAGTGACTGACTTCAAGAGGTATTTCCTGAAGTTCCAGTGAAAAGCAGTAACCAGTGGAGTTCAACCAGGTCTGTTGTCAGATAGTAACTCATTGAAGACAATGGTGGATGTGTCACTTGATTTCGTGGATTGATTGAAGTCAGACATTAACACCGTTGAATGCCGGCAGGCTCAATGGACTAGAGGTTAAGCGTTGGCGCGCAAGACTGATAAGTGCTAGGTTCGAATCTTGCGAGGCGGGATCATGGATTCCTCGTTGTGATTAACTTTGTTAGATTTTTTATTGTGGAGAAATCAATTATCATATAATCTGTTATTATTGAAACAGCTGTATCCATTAAATCAAATCATTTCAACTTGATCAGGTATTTTGTGACCTTCCTATGTTCCTCTATTATCTGTGACCATGTTAGTTATAATCATCTACTTTTTAAGTGTGTCTGGTTCATATTTATTTATATATTTATACTCAAATTGGTTAAGTGAAGTTTATACAGTATTTGCATTACATAAAAACTGAATCACCCTTTATTTACTGATTTCCATATTTACCTTCTTTATCCTCCGCGCATCTGCTTGCATGAAATATATGTATCTACAAATGCTCACATGTTCAACTTTTAATTTCTACGTTGGAAGATTTATGAAGCTGAATAGGATTTCGTTAGAATCATGCAATTATCGTCAACATTATTAGAGTCAATGCTGACATTTCTCAGCGTAGTATAAATCGTTTCTTCAGAGAATAGCTAAGTAAACAAATGAATAAACGAAATGTATTAACTTGAAATTGTTGAAAACTTGTTGTATATTTATACGCTAATGAAGTATCTTACTCTAAAAACTGTCAGACATCAAAAATTCACTTTTCTACTCATAAAGATATTGCAAATATATCATGATTGTTATTAACAAACAATGCATTGAATGTTAAATTTATTTGAATTATCAAATCGAACCACGGTTATGATATTTATCAATCACTTTGATTTCTGACTGTTTTCAACTTAGTAGGTACATAATTTACCTAATTTCGAGTCACACTTTAAGTTTAATTGCTATTATGTAGTTTACCTAATCGGCATAGAGCTTGGAACTTAGTGGTTGAAGTTCAAAAGCCATGACCACTAAGACAAAGGTGATCTCGGGAACACATAGTTTAAAGCCGAAATCTGAATAAACATTTTGAGATTTGGAAATAAATGCCAAGTATATACTCTTTGAGGACTGATCCAACGAGAAAATCAATTCAACTCAAACCTTTTACTGTTTTACTGAACTTGAATGATTACACTTTGAGCAATAGTACCACACATAAGCTTTTACAGATGTAAATAATATAGTTTGGAGTTGAAATAAATACTTAACATAATTGAGTTGAATATACCACAGTTGAGAAAGAACACAATCTATGGTGCGATACAAAACGACGAAGTGTGAGCCACTATATTTGCCCACTTGCATATATATGTGTACACACATATAAAATGATGTAACTGTGATGTGTAGCCGAGGGTTATGAAACGCACGGTTGAATGATGATGAAAGCTAACCAAAACCAACACCGAGATACTTATGAAAAACAAAAATTCAAATTAATATATTTTCAAACATATTAGAAACAGGTTATAAATTTTATTGATAAGACCTTGTAGAATAATGCATATAAATAATTGAGGCGGTGAACCCTTAGATTTTACAAAAAACTAGTCGTATATATATATATATATATATATATATATATATATATATAACCCATCTACAATTATTGTAGCCAATATCCTAGACTGCATCCGAAACTGATCCCAGGCAATCATTTTAAACCAGGAGGACCTGGAACCCTTCTTCGTTCTAATATGAGATTCTTCAGCACTGTTCATCTGAGGTCTTAGTGAGGATTGAATGCAGGGTTATTAGATCTGGCGTTAAGCACTTAGTCTTCAGACAGCTTAGCTGCGGTTTATATTTATGATTCACACGACTGTATAACACCCCGTCCCCAGTAGTCACGTTTTTCGATAATATCGAAAATTCAACAATGTATTAGTGATGGAGACTATTGAAGAAAATAAGCTTTACGATTACGTAATACGTTTTTACAAATTTCAATGATTACTAACCATTATCTTATTTTTATTCAATAAAAAAATTATACAATAGGGTTGTATTGCCAATTTTCAATTGAATGGCCATCCAACAATCAATCTTCTCCAAATGGCTAAAGTTTATCCAAATCTTGATTGTAATGATTATATAGTATATGGGTGTGAATCAATGACGTCTGGTTGTGCATCATCACAAAATAGAAATAATAATATCTCTCCATTTCATTCAAATTTTCATGATTTTGATTCTAGCGATGATTCGAGAAATGCAGACATGTGTTATAATGATGGAGAATGTTTGGACAGATTGAATACATTTTATTGTGCATGTGATTTAACTACTTTTCAAGGTCATCAATGTGACGAAGGTAAAGTTATTTTATTTCAATCTAGAATTTTATGGATTGAGATTAGCTTTAACACTTTCAGTATTCAATAAATGTGTTGTATCCAGTACTTTTGACATTTTCATGCTCAGTTAATGAGTGAATGCTAGATGTTAAAGTGTAATTTTTATAAGAAGTTTCATTTCTATCCCTAATTTTTATGAATGTTCTTCATTTAAACTGTTGGACTGAGCTACATTGACATGTTAATTACAGGCGGTAGAGGATAAATTCAGGCACCTAAAATGACGTTTCGTACACCAAAATTTCGAAAGTGCAAGATACACCTCACTAATTGGATATTGATAACTTCATGTAACAAGCGAACTAAACCTGTTGGTGCTCGAGTACAGGTTTTAGAAGGCGGTCTGTCAGTTTAAAACAATATAAGACATTACATAAACACTGATCAGTTAAATTTTGCAAAAAATATCATCGGAACTATATTATGGACATAATGGTAGTGTCTGTAGTAGTGTAAACTACTAAATATGAAGAATATGTTTCGAAAAGTAATGTATTTTTCAGTACATTATTGAAACTCAAGATGTAAGGGAGGATGAATAATGAATATATGTAGAGTAACCTTTTACATGTATGTTGTCTAAAATGTTAAGATCAATCCATATTCTATTGGATTCCTACAATACAAAGGTAATGCTAGAAATTATGTGGAATGAACTGAAGTCATTTAAACGGACTGATGAATTTATGAGACCAAAGTATCGTCATATAAAAATCGATAGACTAATATGTTTTATTTACAGTTAAATGCATCGACAGTTTTATCATTAACTCAAGTTTTATATTTTCATCTATCTCATCTGTCTAATTTTATTCATTTAGTTATGCTTATGCAAATTACTATAAGTGTAGGTGACATATACCAAGACTTTTGTTTAAACCAAAATTCTTCAACGAAGGTGGGTTTTATTTAACTTAATCGATCATGCGGTGTTAGGTTGAGCACTTGAACTTACAAAAAACCAAAGAAGGTTCTTATGTTGAAGCGTTGTTAACGTTCATGGCACATATCCATTTACTGAAGTGATTGCTACATGATTAACAAATCTCTAACTGTTGCCTACCTTGACGCTCTGTTTTTAATGTGGGAGAAGTTAGATGAAAGCTGAGAAGCTGATCGAACCAAGTTACGGCATCAGTCTATGAAGCCATTCTTTGTTGTGCTAGGTCGTATTGGTTGGTTCAGACTATCTGGTTTAGGTCTACGCGATCATCTAAATCGGTGATTGAAGATGCTGGGCGACATGACCCATAATCGGTAGAAATGATACAGATCAATTTACTACCAGTGATACTACGAGTGGTTCAACTCCATTATTATTTGCGAAGTTAATTTTGTCACATCACTTTGATATAATCTGACAACTAAGCCTTACGCATGTGTCCCAGGCTATTGGTGAATTACGACCAACCAACTGCTAATTTCTTTACTGATACGTCAGTTAACTAGTTACGGTATTTTCTGAAGTGATAGGTGATCACAGGTAATTTATTAAAACTGACTATACGATACAATCCTGGCATCGTCATTATTTTCAGTTATAGGGGCCATGATCTGACTCCAATTAAATCGTATGAATGATTGTTGTCAAAATATACATCCTGTCTATCCTCGTATGTAATACATGACTTACTCTGCGTTGATGAATAACGGAATTAAATAAGTCAAATACGATAATGGATTTCGAATACAAAACAGTCTCCTCATAAGTAACTCCGTCCAAACCATAGTTCTTATTTTGTAATTATATTGAATTACTTAACGATTTCTTTTCTCAATTTTGTAATGAAGTATAGTTGTAAATACTATTACAGGGGGTACTGGAAATTATTGAATTTTTATAGTTAAGATTTCGGACTATGTAAACTGCAAATCACAGGACAGCTTCCAGTCATTATCGTTGCGCAATTACGAACCCACCGGGAACCGGACTTAGGATCCCTAGTCTCACACAGAGCGCTTAAGCTTAATATCACTGTGTTGGCTTCCAATCGTTTACATGTCTAATTTCAATAATCATTATTATCATTTGGAATGGTTGAAACAACTACCCAGCGCTTTCTCACCATCAATAGTTGTCTAATTAAGATCAATCTATGATGACAAATATACTTGTAAAACTAAGAAATAAACTTGAACTATGTACATTTAGTCAATTAATTAACTTTTATGGCTTTTTTAAATAAAATATTATATTTAACTAGTTGGGACAACTTTGCATTTTGGTAAAATCGGTTCAATTAATGCTCATTTGTTCAATCCTAATGGAACTTTAATTAATACAAAACAATATACTGGATTTGTACAATTTCAAATTGAGCACAATGATTTATATATTGTAAATGATGTATTCACTTTAGGACTACAATTAGATATAAAATTGTTACATCATACTGACAAGTTAAACTCAATCAATAATGATTTTATCACTTTATTATTTGCTGGAAATCAATTTCAAAATAACTTGACTTATCTTCATGTCTATTTGGTAAGTAGATGATTATCTTTGTATGACTAGATTATATGTGAGATAGAAAAAGTATTTTTAGTGTGCTTATTTACACAATATGTTGGTGAGATGTCTAAACGTATTGATAGAACACTAATAGTATGTAATCCAAGAAGCTTCCAGTAAGATATAAAGTTAATTTTCAAGTGTATTATTATTTTCATCGAGAATGAAATACTGTAAACTTAATCTTCTCATAGATGACTTACAATGAACTGAACATGAAGGTGACTCTGGGTGTACCGATGTCAGGCTGTTTGTGAATACTTTAGAGAGTTGAATCTAATATTCCAGGGATACACTTAGGTAACTACTATTTCCTTCTAGATATCGTAAACTGATGGTTTTACTTCTTTTGAGCATAACTTATTTCACCCACAGGTGTTTTAGAGATAACATAAGGGTTTAGACGTATTAATTCGATTTTAGATAACTGGAAATAGTTGTCGGAAAAATCAAAGTTTTAGATTTCATGCTGTTTGGCACTTATTATCAAAGCAAACTTACATCAAAGATTAGACAAATATGATGTTGGTTATTACTCAGTGATTAAAGAATGTAAAGGGAAGAAATCCGGATTTTTTAGTAAATCTAACTTACAATTATTCTACAACAGATTTCAATACGTTATTATGACTATTTCCATTTACTTACTGCTGAATGATTTAATCACCAGAAAATATTTACAGGATACTAATGTATTAATTTTTTCAGTATTTATCAGTTTCGATTCCATTTTGTATTATAGGCCCATTATTAGTCCATATTTATTAAAAATGAACAATTTAATACTTACAGGAACAAGGATATTTAAAAATGAAATTCTTATTGGATGGTTCAATGATTGTTATTGATGGTCCAAAGATCAATGTACAAGATGGATATTATCATAGGATTCGGGGAATTAGATCCAGGAATCAGATTCTCCTTGAAGTAGATCAATATCAAACTGTTTATCGTCTATACAGTAGGTTAACCGTTTATCTATCACTTACTTTTGTTAAAATATCCTATTTTCTACAGTTCAATTAGATTATTAAAAGATAAGTGAATTACTTCGTTTTACAGCACTCTTTCATTTGTATTAAATGAGCTTTCTACGGAAATATACTTTCATGAGTAATATAGATGGATAAATTGTATGGTCATTGAGCTGTATCGTAGATTGCTTGAAGTTAGAGATCCAAACCACTGGATAACAGCTCAGTGATCAAAAGCTTGAGTGTTCTTCAGGAGATTTGGGTGCCTTCGGTTCGATTTCTATCATGTTTTTGAGTCCACACTGTTGATTATACTAGTAATAGGACAACACAACTTTCCAATGTGTTTTCGGTTTTCAGTAGTTGTTCTATTAAGTTTTGTAAACTATGAGGCGGGATCGTGGATGCGCACTGCTGAGGAGTCCCACAATAGAATGAAACGACCGGTTTTTATAATATCATTTACTCACAAACTGATGTCAATTAGAGGAAAGTTGGAATATGCTAGAAATGACAGTCATTCGGTCATATGAAACAAACTACCTGCAAAGAACTTGCACCGCTTCAAGTTGCTATGTCACATTTGTACAGTAAGATGAAGCTATCTAAACAAATACCAAAATAGTAACAGTACTGATGATAGTAGGAAAGACTAGTTATGTAAATCCATTGGTTATTACTTTAATACAAGTGAAGTTGAAGACAGCATGAAAAAAGCTTGAAGAAGAATGACATGAATTCATTTAACGTCATTAGGGTCTCATTAGATGATGCTTACAGTCTATAATATTTTAAAATCAATAGTATACACAGATGTCAGCAATATTTAGGTAAGAGAAATTAATTACAAGCGGATATTAGTGGTTATAGTGGAGTTAAGGTGTAAGTAAGGCTAAAAAATGTTTTGCAAATCAATACAATGTATAAGAGAAGATTCTCGAATACTGACAATAGTAGGAAAAAAAGCAAACAAACAATTAAGAATTAATTGATAGTGTAATGGATTAGTCGAATGTAGTATAGGAGCCATGATCTGACTCCAGCTTGATCGTATGAATGATTGTTGTCAAAATATACATCCTCTCTACCCTCGTACGTAATACACGACTTAATCCGCGCTGGTGAATAACGGAATTAAATAAGTCAAATACAAGAATGGATTTTAAATACATATATTTTGTGCATTCATTGATCTGGAAAGGAAATCAGAGGGATGAAGCGAATAGAAGAGAGCGAAGCAAAAACGACACGCATTTGAGAAGGCGGGTAAGCCAACTCGCTTTAATCAGACGTTAATTAGTATTCATAGTCAGATAAAAATAAATTACGGACATGTGATGAATAGGATAAGAAAGTGTACACATATACACTCATATGAAAATAATCAGGGTTAACAAGTAAATGATTAACGAGGTCAGAACGTGACTCAAGATGGAGAAGTAAATTGGCTGGGCTGGAACCTAGAATAAGGTATGTAGGCTTAACATATCAACCGACACTACAGAAGATTATAAGTTACTAAAAATAACATTATTTGAGATCAATTAGTTAAAAATAGAATAACAAATTTGATCATTAATGATGTAAAACCTTGTTTTTTATACTGTTGTTAATTTGCAACAATTTTAAAAATCGTATTCAAATCTTCAGCTTAACATTATCATACACATTCACTTCTAACCATTTCATTCGTTTAAATATATTAACGTCTGTGTATTTGTGTACACGAAATAAAGAGAATCTAATGAAATCAAAAGAATTCATGTTATTGTAGGGGCTGGCACTATGTTAAACCCACATAGGTTATTTTAGCTTCTGGACAGACTAATCTATTCATTCTTTTCAAGATGCACTTTCACCTTATCACTTATACGCTTATTAACCCTGACTGTTTTTTATATGATCGTGTGTTAATTACGTACTCTGTTCACTGTGTCTGGAACTTATTTTTGGTGTGACTATAAATATTGAGTTACGCTTGGGTAAATCGAGTTGGCTCATACGCCTTCACTACCGTGCATCACTTCGTTTCGCTTCGTTCTCTTCACTTAGTTTCTTTGATCATCTGTCTGGATCATTGATTGTATAAAATATAAGTATTCGAGATCCATTCTCGTATTTGACTTATTTAACCCCGTTATTCACTAACGCAGTTGAAGTAGATAACTATAAGCGAGGATTGGCGACATGTACAAGTCTATAACGACAATTATACAATCAAATTTACGTCACATATCGGGTCACTAAATTATTCTATTCAACTATTTCTTCTTACTCCATTCCAAGTTAACAATGAAAACTACAAGTATGAAGTTTAAGAAGTTGGATATTAAAAAAAATAGTTATATGAAAATACTTGATCACGTTTTGTAATGCATAATTACACTTTATAGTAGCTATTACAGAGTATCAAGAGGGGTTAACATTCGAAAAAAATAGAAATACTTCTAAAATAACTGATATTTTTAATTCATGTTGAGATACCATTAAATAGATTAACAATACATGAAAGAAAAAAAAACTATTTAAATCACTTATAATCAACGAAACTTGTTTACACGTTGGACGATTGTGGGTAGTAGCCAGAAAAGCCTGAACCTATGTTTTTGAATAGTTGGTACTTGTCAGCAAGGTACTTTTGCCGTCTTGGTAGGGATTGGAATCTCACAGAGAACATTATTTTCTTTAATATTGTATATGTGACTTAATTGTAAGTGCAAACCAACACAAAACCTCGATCAAATATTTCCTGTCATCTACCTCCATCCATATAACATCAAAATACAATCCAAGTAAAGTTTAGTCATTTCAACAGGTGAACATGTTGGATATGTTATCTAGATTAAGATCCTTATCAAGGATTAAATAAACATGAGATTGATTACCAATGGCTAATCAGTCAATATACTCACTTCCATAGATATTACAGAAATCTGAAATGTCCATAACCTCAAAATATTTTAAGAAAGCGTATAATTAAAAAAAACAACAGTTTCTTGGTCATTTTTTGTTAATGAGACTCTAATTAGTAAAACGATTTTGTTTATACTTTCATCTCCCAGTTGTTTGTTTTATACTTTAGATGAATTTGGTTCGCTTTTGAAAACACGCTATCTTTGGTTGGGTCATTCACCATTATCAAATTTTTCTGATTTCATACAAGGTTATGTAACAGGTATATGATTTACTCCTTTTGATTCTATGATTATACATATAGTTTTTATTATGAATATATTTGTAACGTTTAGCATTTAGTAGACCAGTATTTGGTTTGTATATGTACGTTTTGTACCACAAAGAGTGTGGGAAGCAACATATGTGAGAAAGATGACGACTCATTTAGAATGAAATTATATCTATGAAGGAAGGCAATCAGCAATGAATAGCAATAATACGATTGTAAGATTAGGACAGTCTAGTAATCTGAACTAGAAATTAACAGTATAATGTTTCCAACGTAATAAGTATTAACAAATCTTGCAATATATATATCAATACTGATTCATATTGCTTAGTGTTATATTGAAAAACTACTTTTTTATCAGAGACAAACTTCAACACCTTTATCCATCTGTCTTTTACGTACCTATCAATTTATGGTTTTATAGAAATGTGATGTTCTTCACAAAAAAACCTTTTGTTGAAACTGTTCCATTCATTCAACGTTCTTTAGAAGATAATAATTGGAAATATTTTGCAGTTTAACACTAATGATCCTATGAGATTTCTATCAGAGCATAACTGGGTAGTGCATACCATTAAGAAAAGGTTATTATAGTTTTCTTTGATACTCTGTCTGTCAAAAATACTGTTATGGTGTGGGTTACTGATATCTACATAATTAGTATATTGTGATGATCGAGCATAGAAGATCAATAAAAAGAGAACGGGAACGGCACGCAATTGGTGCGAAAATGCATGAACAATTATAATCAAAGACTATGAACGGATATTTGCAGAAGAAACAGTCAAATTGCGACAAATGATTGTTATTCTGCAAATTAACTATTCACTATATGGTTCTCATATTTTAATGACATATTCTGTAATGTTGTGCTAAATGACATTTGATTGTCCCCGCTCTTGTTTTTGTTCACTACACTGTCTGTACTGAAGTCAAGTTTTTGAAAACAGTAAATATAACTTAATTGATTAAGAATCTTTATTCCTTGAATATGTAAGTCAGCTTTTGTGTTATACATAACCTTATAATAATTGACGATAAGATTACAAATGATTGTTCTTTAGGACTCATGAAACAATTTTAACGTGAAAATTAATGTAAGTGATCAATAAATGGTAATGAACTGAACTTGAAATTAGATAAGTTGTAGCAATCAAATGACTGTTACGGAGCTATAATTTTTATTCTTGGCATTATTCACTATCGTGGTAAACTATTAAAAATAATTAAAATTCCATTGAAATTTAATTGTTTAATAATTTTTGCAGAGAATCATTTATCGGTAAAATATTTCATTTTCATAGTTTAAGTGACGAATTGATTTTAGTAAAACCACATTTAAAAACCAGGAAAGATTGGATAGCCGTTTCTTCACAGTATGAAACTTCTCAGAAGTTCACATCCATAACCATTCCGAAGATTGATGCCAGGAACTTCGGCCTACCTCTGAGGAGTGGTATGTTATGACAAAATAGCTGTTCAGCACTTCTTGGTTTTTACTCAGGGTCTAGCTAATGTCAACATGTGATTCAAACTATGAGAATACTACAATACTCACTAACCGTCTATATTAGAATACCTCATTGTTAATCTGTGTGTTACTTATGAATAGTTTGAATTATCTATAATTTATAGAGCAAGAAATAGAACAAAACATTTTTAGGGATAACACCGTCATGTGTAAGGGTTTGTGTTTTCTCGTTACTAAGGTTGATCAGTCGCAGTTGACATGTGCGCATCCTAACTTGATCATCATTTATTCGTTTTTTTTACTTCATTAAATAATGGAAGAAGACCTCTGTTTCTCATTATGATTACATTTTTATTTTAGGGGTCTATTACAATGGATTACGGTTAACTGATCTTGCATCTGGTTTACAACATCTGACATTTGTTAAAGTTACGCGATACGCCGAAGTAGAGTATACAAATACATTTCAATTGAAATTAGGACCAAATAGTCCATTTTACACGTAAGTATTTTTTTCGTTGTATAGAATCATCGGAATTTTACAATATTACATACTATGATTTTATACCAGTAATTTTTATGTACTAAATATGTACTACTAATACTCAATGTATAAAAGAGTGTATTGCTGAGCTTCGTTAACCGTTCACTTCGATAACCGTTATAATTCCAATCTTAACGGTGTGTAAAATCAGAAGGCAAAGAAAAGCGGCAACTACAGTTTTATTGACAAATGACGCAGGCCAGAAAGTTATAAGCACATGAGCAAGTATCAGCGAGCAAAACATAGATGACACGCATTGGAGATGGCGAGTAAGCCAACACGCTTTAATCAAGCGTTAATCAGTATTTATAGTCAGACAATAAGTTACAGACATTCAATGAATAGGATAAGAAACTGTACACACACGCTCGTACAAAAAGTAGTCAGGGTTAATAAGCGAATAATTAACAAGGGCAAAACATGACTCAAGATGGATAGGTAAATTGGCTTGTCCAGAAGCAAAAATAATGTTTACGGGCCTAACACATCAACCGACACTACAAGAGTATGGTACCTTTTTGGAAGAAAACATCTCATGCAGCTTTCATAATCTATGTATAATTTTCTTATTTTTAATATAAAGCACTTTAAAACGTAGTTTAAATGTAAACTACTTTGTTGATGATAGTTGAAACAGTGATTCTCCGTCTTCAAATCTGAATTTAAACCAATCTTATTTACTGAGTTCGAGAAATGGAATTATAAAATAACCCATAAATCTCTAAAGTTGTTTCTAAATGCAGATTAGTTTCAGCTACGAAATCATTAGAAATTATACAGCAAATAGTTATATGTTACGTCCATTGGTTTGTCTTGTACTTACAAGCAAACAAAAAATTGAAGTCTAACCTATCACCTTCAACTTCTGTGATAAGTATGATACGTGTAAACTGATTAGTAAAAACGCTTACTAGTTCATATGATCAAAATTTCAGTCAAATTACTTTAATTCAACGTTTAAGTAGCTGCATTTAGCGTTTTAATTCTTCATATTATTGGATAAGTCATATATATATATATATATATATATATATATATATATATATATGTATATATATATATATATATATATATCGGGATCCCAGAGTTGATGTTCATGAAACACATTTCCTGGATTCCACTGCTATCCACTATCCATCTTTGCTTATAATGCTTGTGACTTAAGGCAATATCGAGGCAATCCACACATGATTCACAAATGCCAACAAGTGATTGATCAATTGTAGTCCTAAACAATAATGGAAGATACAAGCATACAACACTTAGTAAATTTAATCTCATAGTCATACATTTTTTGCGAAAATTGTTGCATCTGTCTACTTTTGTGTGAAACTAGATGAACAGCGATCATATTGTCGGTAGAAATTGTTTAATACCTAGTATTACTCATAAACAATTATTAAATGATTCTTTCAGCCCACATCAAACTGACCTCTGGAGCAGTCATACGAATAAGCAGCTCGAACACACTAACAAACTTGAAGCATACCTTGTCACTGTTTAGCACTTTAATTTTCATAGTTAACATGAAGAAATAATCTTAGTAAAACAGTCATCCAAAATCAGAAATTAATGGAAATCAGTATCATCTTATTATGAAACGTTTAGTCATTGCAATTGAATCTAGACACTTCATTTCTCTTAGCAAGCACTGAACCTTCAATTAACTTTTTTTTGTTCTAATATTCTTTCAGTAAATCCAATCTACGAAAAAGAAAAAAACAGTTACAACTGTCAAAATCTTCATCTTCAATTTTCAATCCACTTGTGATTTCAAATGGTTTTCTTACAGATTTCAATATACCTAATACAAATGAAAATAAGTGTTTATCATGTACAACTAAAAATGATTTCTCACTAGATCCATCACCTCTTATAGCATCATCACATTCAAATACTTTATTGCCTAATTCCGAGATTCAACCAACATTGATAACATTTACAAAATCATTAAATATTTGGTTATTTATTTGTTTAATTCTAACAGGTTTAATTTTAATTAGTTCATTTGGTTTTCTTATTTATCGTTGTACACAAAATCGACACTTTAAAGAATATAACACACATATTTCACATTATGAACAATCTACTTCAACAAATGAACCACATTTATTACAATCAATAGAGAATGCCAAAATTAATGAATTGGATAAACAAGAATACGATCAAAATAATGATTTTTCTCAAAATCAATATCAACAAAATATTTCATTATGTCATACAGGGTATCCAAATGATTTAATAACATCTACCTCAATTATTCTTGGTAATGATCAATATATGAAGGATAAAATTGACACTTTACCAACATCTTTATATATAGATAATGAAACTCTATCTAATTTAAATGAAACTTATACTACTCAGAATAGATTACAACATGAGTTAAATAATCAACAAATGGATGATTATAAATTAGATAGATATGTAAATGTATCCAATTGGTCTACAATACAAAGAAATCATGGTTATAACTCCAATGGTAATTTCTTAAAACATTCCAATTTCTTTACTTATCATCCTCATTCATATAATTTACACAAATCTAATATAAATAATTTTACATTTGTACAAAATAAACAAGCAATGTAAGATATGCATCATGTATATGTGTATGTGTGTGCGTGGGTTTGATTACATGTCTGTCTGCATGTTAGGTTAATTATATAATATTACGTTTTAGTTATTATGCATTAATGTAACATTAATGTAATTTGTGTTACCTCATTGTATTTGTGCTTTTTGGTATATTTCAAAAGAGAAGAAATAAACCGGACCTATTCAACAGGGTATGCTGATATTCCATTTGAGTAGTAAATATGTATTGAAATATATAATTAAGAAAAGTTGAATAATATAAATCACTTTTACATTACTCTTATAATTCATCCATTTTAAAACAAAATTGTTCTATGTTATTACATCATTATTATATAAGTGGATTATTTCCTTCCATATTGCTAACCTTTATTCATTGAATGTACAAGTCAAAGTCTGATTTTCTGTACATTTTCAATAATACATAAACAGTTCCTACAAAAAATAATTCTGTTTTATTTCCGATAACAATGTAAAGTAATTTGATTTTCAATAGATCCCCATTCGATGTTGATCTACAACTAAAACTTTATGATTCTATCAGTTCAATGAACTGAATAATATTTATAATCTCAGAAATCTAGTACATTTTCTATGGAATAATTTATTTGGTTGGTTTTTATTAAATACAAAAATGTAGTAATCTGGTTCATAATACAACTAATCCAACTAAATTCAGGAAAAAAAATATAATAATTGTTATGAACTTTATACCCAAAGATTGCTAGTGACTAGCAGTGGAATCCAGGAAGCGCGTTTCGTCCTATTTTGGATGTACCTGAATCTAAGAGTTGATGTTCAATCTGGGACTCGAAACCAGTAGAAGTAAACAACACCGTATGAATTTGAACTTCACCCACTGCACAAGCAGGTAACTATCAGGACTCAGTAGCTAAGTGCAAAACGCGATGGTGTTTGGAGCGAACGGTACTGGGTTCGAAACGCAGAGTTAACATCAACTCTGAGATGCAGGTAAATCCGACTGACGAGTCCCAAATAGGATGAAACGCGCGTCCCGGATTCAACTGCTAGCCACTAACCATCTTTGCCTAAAATGCTTGTGACTTCAGACAATATCGAGGAAGTTCGCATAGGCTGCATATGTGCCAACAAAAGATCGATCAACTGCAGTCCTGAATAACACTGGGAGGGTACAAGTAAACAACACCATGTGAATAATTGTCATGGGTATAAAGCTATAATTAGTTACAGTGTATCTGAACAATAGTAAATGTAGACTTTTAATATAATGAAAAACAAAGCAAACGTAAATAGTAGTTAGTAATGGCATCCAGGACGCGCATTTCGTCCTATTTAGGACTCGTCAGCTGAATGTATCCGCATCTCAAAGTTAATGTTCACTCTGGGATTCGAACACAGTACAGCTCATCTCAAACGCCATCGCGTTATCCACTTAGCTTGTGAATTAGGGATATGTCGAGACAGTATGCACATGAATAATTGATTTTATTATTAAAATATGAATTCATATTATTTCACTGGGTTCTTATATAATCAATAGTATTTTATAATTACGACAAAATTAGAAATTTGACTGATTATGTAATTTTAATTTCGAAATATTTCAACTGTAGGCATGTGATGAGAATCTAACAAAATTAAGTAAGTTTATATTATTCAATTAAAATGTTAGATCCTAATTATCTTTGATCAGTTTTGATCATAATGTGAAGCAACGAGTTTGCGTTATTCATACTAAACACGCTTCATTATTAACTAAAAATACTAATTTGATCTTTTTTCTACCGATTATCGGGTACTTACAAAAGTAATATTCAAACTAACATATTTTCACTGAATGTATTATCAAAAATTGTAATAAGTACAAAATGTTTCTGATGTGGAAAATCAGTCAGAGATAGAAAAATGTCAGTCGATGGCGATTAAAAGTGACCTGAACGTCAAATACTTTCTATTGTGGTCAGTGAGTCAATTTCATAAGGATAGAGTGGTATATATATGAATGAGTATTTGTACATGTAATTCGGCAGTCTAATACACTTTCTCTCCCAGTCTTATGTTCTCGCTCAAGTATTCAGTTGAGGGGTTAACGTGTAGCACACTATGAATCAATATCAGATTTTGGACGACTCACGTCACAAGAGTTTTTTAAAATTGAATGCTAAATTTTTTAATGAGCTTTAAAAGTATAGAAACTCACATGTCAAAGAACTGTCAACTACTTAAAAGCCTTTCCTTGGGTGAAATTGTTCACTTAGGAAATCTTAATTCATAAAAATAATCTTTTGAATTTTTATTAGTCAGTTAATTCATGACTATAATGACAACATTATACGATTTGATTGAATTACTTATTATTCTAATCATAGATACAAATACAAGAACTTTTTAGAGACAATAAAGTCTATGAGCTGGCTGATCCACGTGCGGTGTTTGTATTATCTTCTTTTACAATATCATTAGAAAATATTTCACGAAGAAGTGAATCATTCAAATTTCTCCACGACTAGACAAAGGCTCGTTTTATTGACTTCAAATTTGAATGATTATTTTCCATAATTAAGTTGCCGTCCTTCATATCTTTGATTTGATTGGCTTCCCCTTTAATGTGATGACTGACCGTGAAGTTTCTATACTTTTTCTTGCTCGCTAATGAATTGGATCGACTTTGACATATCTGTTGATTGATGAGTGACCTTAATGTCATACTTTAAAAATAATTTGCTTGTGACGTCTGAGACATTCTTTTGTGGAGGAGGATTGCCCTCTCGGAAATTGTAACCACTGTTCTTTTAAGAAAGGCAATCAACTTTACAACCAAACTATTCATTTCAAATAACATAACACACCCAAAGCCCCTCTACTGAGCCACAAATATTCTTCATTACCATAAAACACTAATATTTAAAAAGAATGTTTTGATAGACTTATAAGTGTTTCCCGCTTCAAGGTAGGTAATTTCCAGTGCTTAAGTAACGAAATGTTTGACCAAATAAACAAGAATTATTCAAGAAAAAGAGTTCAGCTTGTTGATCATTTAATGATGTGGGTACAAGCACAGTAAAGTCAACCTATACATACTGATTTTAATTGTGAATCAATTTTTTTCTAAGGTGGTGATATGATTTGCAAACAATTTTTCCAAACCACCTATATACTAAAAATTATCATAAGCTTACTGTTGTCTAACCTTGAATGGTAATTCCCAAAGTGCTGGTGAAAAATCTTGACCTGTGGAGTTCAGTCATATCAAGTGTGTGGCAGTTACCCACCAACAACCGCTATGCTGATCGAAGGTTTAACTGACTGCAGTATCAGTGGCCTGTGATTTTCTTTTCTTTTCCTAATAGTTTGTGATATCTAATGACATTTGAGGATAGAGTGATCTTTATTAAATGTACCTGTAGGTCAAAAATGTTCAATTTTATGATGTTTTATGTAACTTCATCCAGCAAATTATTGATTAACTGGCGTCAAATACTGCTCAATTTAATGTTTACAAATGCGACTGTTACTCAGTATAGATCAGATAAAAACTAATACATTCAGATACTATTCTTTGATTCATTTTTAGCATCAAACAAATCGCCAACTACCGTCTTCGTATTCTTATTTGAGTCATTCTATTTGCTGTTTTCCAGTTATTGCGCTAAGATCTTGCTCAAATGCAACGAAAACATTGGAAGATGGTTACTCATTATCGCAGATTGTTAAAAGTTAGAGATGTTCAACATTGGTCTAAAGGTCAAACGTTTTTCGAAAGACCTGATTGTCTTGGGTTCGATTGCAGGTGGGGTTCTGGGTGTATAATGGTAGGAAGACCTATACTATAGTTAAACACATGTTACTTGCATCCTGATTTTCAATAGTTGGTTAACTAAGATCAATATGTGAAGTCAACCGTGAAATAATCATTCAATACGTGCGAATTTTAAGAATATGTAGGCAAATTGTTTGAAAAAATTGATATTTGCATACATCAAAATGTTGTCACTAATTATTGACAGAACGATTAACTTTGACTGACGAAAGGCTTATGATATTTTTTGAACGCTAATATTATATTTGGCTTGGAGAACTCCTTATCACACTGTTCTGATCTGTTTTCGAAATGTAATGTAGTTTCATTGATCAAAAATAAGTCAGAATTTTGTTTTACACGTTTTACTTTCGTATTCTAGTAGCTTAATAGCATCATGGATGATAAATGTTATTGGGTATTGAATTTGATAAACAAACAGACTTAATCAGAAAGTGAGATAAGCAAAAAGCTGAAATTTTAAGTAGTGTTGGATAGTGGCTAGAAGTCAAATACAAGAAGCGCGATCCGTCCTATTTTGGACTAGTCGTCTGGATGCAATGTTATACCAGAATTAATGTTCCACAGGACGATTCAAACCCTCATAACCGAAAAAAATATAAGAATATATGAGTAAAGTGGTGAAAAATTGAATGTAATGAATATCTGTAGAAACATCATTTTAAGATAACTAACTCAGTTGATATCTTTTTATTTAATATACAAAAATTCGTGAAGACTGTAGAATTTTTCAATTTTAGATCACAAACTGGTCTAAGCCAAACCACCATTGAAAACCTGGAAACACTGGACGGTCGTTTCGTTCTAGTATGAGACTTCTATGAAATGAGCATACACGTCCCCTTATATGGGACACGAAACCATGACCTTCGGTCTCACGTGCAAATGCTTAACCTCTAAACCACTGAGCCGCGATCCAATGGTGTTAATATCTGAACTCAGTCAATTGATTAGATTGTACGATCATCTTCTATTATCTCAGGTGAGTAACTGTCTTTCATCCAACACGAAGTGTCTCCTCTAGTCACTGGTTCTCTCCAGAACGTCGAGGACTTGTTGTCGCATCTAGTCACTAGTAAGTACATGATAATTTTCCAGTGGTCTAGAGGATGAGCACTCACGTGAGAAAACGAAGGTTCTTAGTTCAAGTCCTACATGTGGGATCATCAATGTGCACTGTAGAGAAGTCTCATGCTAGGACGAGACGGCAGTCCAGTGCTTCTAAGTTTTGAATGACTGTATAACAGTGATCAATTCATGATCTCAATGAAAACTCAATAATCTTCACATCTTTATAATGAAAATAATATGATGATCCGAATTACTTATTTGAATACATATGATGTGAAAAGCTTAGTTGAGAGTTCTTCATGTTTGACTGCTGATGAATGTGATGGTACTGTAGTGGACGAGAACACAAGTGGGGAAAATCGAATGCATTTTAATACGAAATTACAGTGTTTTTCTAAAATCTGAGAACCATATATTAAATATTTCATTTGAAAAATGTTCATTAATTGTCTGAGACTTTATTGTTTCTGCATTTCTTTACCAATTGCTTTCAGTTCACGTTCTTTCCTCCTTGATCTTCTCGACCTTCTGCTACCAGACATTCTTTTCCTGACTATCGCTATATAATACTTATGTCGATATAAGTAGCATATACCACAATACTATTACGTTAGTTTTGGTTAACTATTGAATGACCTCTCTTATATCCATATTGTAATGAATAATTATCAAATACCTAGTAATAAGGATCGGTTGTTACAGATGAAGAAAGCGAAAAAAACCTGAATAATATTTGTATTC